GGTAGAGGTTGATTTTAGTATTTTTGAGATATGTTAAAAAATGAAGATGGTAGAGGTTGAAAAAGTTGATACAATAACATTATATGATATTTTTAAAATTTGATAAAAAATAAGAAAAATAAAAAAAAGTTGTATAACAAAATAACATATCCAAATTCATCAACTTTTTCAACCGCCACCAGATAAAAATTTTGATGGTTCAAAAATATGTAAAATCAACCTTCACCACATAGAATTTATAAATTAAATGAACTACGATATAAAATTAATATAATATATTATTGTTGTTGAAAATGAAAGCGGTAAAGGTTGAATTTTATAAATAAGTTTTTCAACCTCCACCCGATAGAATTTATTAAATTTATTATTATTTTTATCATTTTTTAATAAATTGAATTAGTATAAGCCAATTATTTTTATCACAAAATTTATTCATTTATTTATAAATTATAACAAGTTAACCGAATAAATAATTTAACCATTAAAATACTATATTTTGCATTTTTTTATGGTTAAATTTGTTATTATATTTGACTTTTTGTATTTGTTAATAATAATGGCAGGTGATAAAATAATTGAATATATTAAAGATTACATTAATAATAATCAACATTTGAAGAATAAATCGCTGCAAGTATTATTTAAACAAGTAAAGAAAGATACATATTATAATAATTCATTTGATAATTTTGTAAGTTTATTAAATTTCTATAATTTTGAAATTGAAGATAATAAATTAGTTATTAATAAAAATAAAGTAAAACCAACAAAACATAATAATGATACAAACAATGAAGAAGACGATTATTATAGTAAATTAAGAAATGAATTTATTAGAACTAACGGTAAAATATCATTTGATTAATGAATTATCATAATTTACTAATAAAAAAGTATTTTTCAATCACCAACCGACAACTAAATATATAATATCATTGTATTCATATATGGATAATAAAGAATTGAAACCAAAAAGCAAAGCAAAACCAAGAGCACCAAAGAAAGCGCCAAGCAAAGCACCGGAAGCAACAGAAGAAGCAAAGAATAATATTTCATTAATGGAATTCATTAATAATACTTATGTAAAAAAATAAAAATGGAAAAATGAAAGGTTATCAAATTTATAAATCCTATAAGCAATTTACAAATATTGATAACTATATTATTTTTCAATTTTATAAAGAATTAAAATTAAATAATATTGAATTAGTAAAAGAAAAGAATATTAATCATATTTTAGGTTATGAAGTAAAATAATTATATATTTTTTCATTATATAATTATTTTTAGTGATAATATCTGTTATTCTAAATCATTAAGTAATTATTTTAAGTGAAATATATATAAAGAAATATTAACTATAAATATTAACAAGTGAAATAATGAGATTAAACAACAAAGAATTAATTATTAAATTTTGATGAGTTAGAACAGTATAATTTTAGAAATATTATATTAATGGATGTCATCAATGTAATAAACAAAAAATGATTGTAATATATTAAATAAACTTCTACCAATTGAATTAACAAGTAATATTAAAAATTGTTGTTGTTGTTATAATTGTAGTTTATTAATAACTATCATGAATGATAAACCTAAATACGATGAAGAATTTAAGAATGTTATGATTTCATGTAATGATAATAACCCAGTAAATAAGCAGGATTTAATAAACACTTACGAGAAAATATTAATTAGTTATTATATTGATAAATTAACTGACTTACAATGTATATCAAGAGATGAAATAACAAGTGTTTTAGAAATACCAAGCGAACGAGTTTTTATTACTGAATATAATAAATGGATAGACTTTTTTAAAGAATGTAATTTTTATTATTATAGATATGCAGAAGAATTAGATTTTTATAAATTGAAAGAAGAATTAAAAAATATATATTATGGCGAATACGAAGAAATACCTATTAAACAATTAATAAACAACTATTTTATTGAATGTATAGGCAACCCCCCGCCAAAGAAATATAATTATTTTCATCAGGATTTACAACAACATTTTTTAACTAATCCAATATTTCAATATTTAAAAAGTACAAAGAAAGGCAAACATATTGTTGTAATAAAATAGCAGTAGATAAGATTAATATGAATAGAACAATTTATTATTTGAATGATGAAGAAAATGTAAAATTGAATAATAAATTTTGTAGAGGTTAAGATAATTTATTAATATTTTCAAGAAATATTAAGAATTTATTGTTTTTTTAGTGATAACATAGAATATTCTAAAATATTAAATAATTATTTTAAGTGAAATATATATAAAGAAATATTAAGTATATATATTAATATGAGTGATATTAAATATACGTTCAACGAACATAACAAAAAAGATTATAGGGCACTATACAACAGAATTAAAACAAGTGATTTATATAATGAAGAAATCAATTATAATAATTACATTGACAAAATTGATTATAAAAAGCTGATGAGTTATGTTAAAAAATTAGATTTATCAACTTCAAGAATTGAACGGTTTTTATTTATTATATTGAAATATTACAGGGTTAATAATGCAGATAAGGACACGGCAATTAAAATTTTACATACCGAAGCAAATAAAACAAAAGATAGTAGAAAACAAACAGAAGGCAATAGCGAATTAGACGAAAAAGAAGAGGCATATTTTAGAAACCGTGATTATTTTATTAAAATATTGAAAAATATTAATTATGAAGATTTAAAGACAGATAGGGAACATATGAAATATTTAATTTTAAATTTGTTAATCTACCAACCGCCACAGCGTAGCAGTTATTACACAAGCGCAGAAATACATAAGAGCGGGGGATATGATGAGAACAAAAAATATATTTTCTTAAAAACTTTAGCAGGAAAGAAACGGGCAATGTATTTTGTAGGAAAAGATAAAGTAAGTAAAACTAAAAATTTTAGTAGCATAGAAAGTAAAACAATAGAAATTAATAATAAATCAGTAATTGAAATAATTTATAAATCCATAGAAGATAAACCAAGAAAATATTTATTAGAATTAGGAGGAAAACCAATAAGCGAGAACACATTAAATAAATTACTTCAAGAAATAACGAAATTAAACGGAATTACAACAAATATATTTAGGTCAATTTACATAACAGCAGAATATAATAAACATATTACAGTTAATGAAAAAAAGCAACTGGCGAAACAAATGAGACATGATTATAAAACAGCAGAATTAAATTACTTTAAACTGAATACAGAAGCCAATAATAATAATAAAACTGATGAAGAAAATATTAACACAATCAACCAACAAAAAGTAACAATTAATAATTTAAAAAATGAAATAGATAAATTAAAACAGGAAATATTAGATTTACAAAAATACAAAAATTATTTTAATGAAACTAAAAAGGATGTAGAAGATAAAAAGCAAATGAGAGACGAAGATAAACAAGCAGAACAAAATAGTAAAAAAGTAGCAGACACAAAGTATAAACATCATAGAACAAATTATTTAAAGAAAATTAACGGGGAAGACAAACATAATAAAATTAGAAATCCAAGCGACAAAATGTTAGAACATTACAATATTGAATTTGATAAGACGACTAATAAATATTATTAATGTTCATTCATAATTATTATTAAATTGTTAAAATGTAGCAACTTAAAAATAATTAGGTTATTCTAATTTATTAGAATGAATTATTATTTTGTTTATTATTTTTTCATATTTTTGTAATATTTCAATCATATTTTAAATTAAAAAACACACCAAAAAACATTTCCGACGGGCAGGGGGATTTGAACCCGCGACCCCAAAAAATAGCACCCCCCGGCGGCAGGGAGATTTGAACCCGTGCCCGTGGCTCACCAAGTCAAACAAATCGGGACTGACGAAACAAAAAAATCAGGGCTGACGAAAAAAAACCGGGATGGGCGAAAAAAAGTACTCAGGAAACGCCAAATACTAAAGGGGGGAAGGAAAAACACGGGACGGGCGGGAGAAAAAAAAACGGGACGAACGGGAAAAAAACGGGACGGGCGGGAGAAAAACAACGGGACGAACGGGAAAAAAAACGGGACAGACCAGCCCAAAATGACCTCCAAAAGTGCCAAAAAATGACCTCCAAAAGTGCCGAAAAATGACCTCCAAAAGTGCCGAAAAATGACCTCCAAAAGTGCCAAAAAATGACCTCCAAAAGTGCCAAAAAATGACCTCCAAAAGTGCCAAAAAATAGCCTCCAAAAATGAAGCAGAATGAAACAAAATAATATTTGTTGATATATACACAGCAGAAAATAGCAAATTTATGAAAATATGATGATAATATGTTTGTATTAAGTAGCAAAATGGAAATATTATAAACCATACAATTCAATTTTATAATTATTGAAAAATAAATTGAAAAAGTTAAATAACATTATTTTATAAAATAATTTTATGATACTATCTTAAATTTCACAGCAAAAAATAATTTATTACACTTTTTGAAAAAATAGTTCACGCCAAAAACTAATTTATTGAAAGAATTAAATAATTTCACTTTCTATTTATTTACTTATTGAAAAAATGAAATTGTATATTTCACTTTTTATTTATTGTCTTATTCAAAAATATTATTTCACTTTTTATTTACTTACTTATGCAAAATTTAAATTAATATATTTCACTTTTTATGTTTTATCTTATTCAAAAACATATTATTAACAAAAAAAAGAAACTCAAAAATAAAATTAAATAAGTCTCGGCTTTTCACTTTTCACTCAATAAAGGGAGCAGGTCGCGCCTTTGATTGCTTGTGTCGATGCAGACCATATGCGTTCCGCCTAGCCTCAGGTTTCTCTTCCCAAAAGCCGGACAAGAAGTTGGTGTGCGTGTGTGTGTGTGTGTGACTTTTTTTGAGGGTTATCCTTTAGGTTGGTTCAAAGGGACATCACAAAAGGACCACCGAAGCCTGGGTCGGGACCGCTCTCGAAGAGGTAGATCCTGAGTTGCGTCGCAGATGCCAAGAAGCCTTGCCAGACATGGCGTGGGCCCCGGCCAATAGTGACTCGCTGCGTTGCATAGTGCATCCACCCCTGTGGCGGTTCCGCTCTTCAGCAGTGGCCTTGAGGCAGGTTCCAAGAACGATGTGGTTCAATTCCATGCTGGTCCAAATAGTATGAAATACATGACCATCAGCAAATTATTCAATATGATACATATATCATTGTACATGTTCTGTACATGTTCTGTACATGTTCTTTGCCAATCATATATGTATCCGCCAGTTTCAATTGCACAGATTTAGGGGAGCCAGCCAGGAACTGACGGGCTCTCTTGCGACTTGACTTGGTCCGCAACCTTCATGAGAGCTTCCTTTAAGAGACTCGCCCCCGTTGGGTTGGTGATAAGAAGTGAAACCAAGGGTGTCTCTTAGGTCAATCCTCAAAATGGGCGGGGTTTCCTTCCGGTGTCCCGTTAAGAAAAACCACCGAGCAAGGGGTATCGAGCCTCAAAAAAGACACCCGAAAGGAAGCCCTCGCCATGTTGGGGGACCACTATTTTGAGACATCCAGATGAGCCACAAGGTCACCCGAGTATTGTGCTTATATTTCCCGTTATTTGCATTTGCATCTCATGCAAACCTCGCTCAATGAACATCAGGCCTTGATCCAGTCAGACCAAAAAACACAAACCGTGCGCCCTGCAACACCGGCCCGGCTTTGGCACCTTCCTCAAGTCTGATCGAGACCGGTCTACACCACACATGCCATGGCCCAGCATTAGATCAGCCAGCGAAACACACCAGCACCAGCCCCGCGCACTCGTCCGTTACCGCGGATCAGCCAGCGAGCCTGCGATGCTGCGGGCCTGCGCGTGTGCGGCACGCCGCCTGCCTCGGCGCGGCGTCGAGGAGTTCTGGCAAGGGGGGGTGCGGGACCCCAAGCTGAACGCCACGCAGAAGCAGGCGAACGCCATCTCTGGGGATCCCTGGCCGGCGGTTCTGCTGCGCCAGAAGTCCTTTGAGGACATGCACAAGCTGTGGTATGTCCTCCTGAAGCATGGTTGTTGGTGGGAATTGTTTTTTGTTTTTTCATTTCTGCTTATTGTGGTTTAGTGGTTGAAATCCAACCACTTAGCTGCTAAAATTCAAGTTGTTGCCCCCTTCCAACGTCAACCAAGGAAGGAGAAGAACTTCTTACTGGCGGAGCAGCACGAGGCACGGCAGCAGAAGATCCGCTGGAAGCATCACGGGCGCCTGAAGAAGGTGAAGCTGTCCATGAAAAGGATCTTGACGGTGCTCACGCGCCGGGAGATCCATCAGCAGATTTTAAAGGCCAAGGAGATGCTGGACCAGCAGAGCCGGCGAGAGGAGCTGGAAACCCAGCGCTTCCAGCTGGAGGACACGCAAAGCGAATCCACCCGAGTTGAGCTGTTTGGAACTTTGTCCTGTGGTCCCCGTTGCCTTCTGGTCCTTCAAAAGGTGATCGGGTCCTTCAAAAGGTGATCGCCTCTTTTTTTGCCGCATAAGGGGCAACCGAGCTCGCCGATTTGGATGAGCCCTAAAATTGGCGACCACCGATCCCAACGAAGCATCAGTTGCTCTCCTTTGGCTTCCCTTGACACCACCAAGTCGGCACACCAACACACCCACGGTTTCCCTTCAAAACCAACAAGTCGGTACCCCACAAAACCCAACGAGCCGCCCAAGCGAGAGTTGTTTTCCCTTGGCTTTCCCTTCAAAACCAACAAGTTGGTACCCAAAAAGCACCTGCGAGAGTTGTTTTCCTTGGATTCTCCTTTAAGCCAACGAAAATTGGTACCCCAACAAAACACCCAACCCCCCCAAAAAATAAGAATAACAAATAAAATAAATAATCCCGCCTTCCTCGCCGCTTGCGCGAGGAGAACATGAAGACGCTGAGCCACAAGATCCGGCGCTCCGAGCCCAGGGATTCCATCGCCACGGCTGCCTGGAAGGCAACGATGCAGAAGTACGAAACGGAGCACCAGCGGCTGCTCCGGGAGTTGGGGCCGCTGAGACGAGACACCATGCGCCACGGCCTTTCCGAGAAAGGAAAAACAAGCAAACAAAGAAGCGCGCAAAAATATATATAAATCACACAAGTTCTTTTTGACGTTTTTTTTTTTTTTTTTGGGGGGGGGGGGCGGGTGGGGAGGCCTTGTTTTGGTGTTTCGTCATTTTTTGCCCTTGCAACTGGCGACAGATCCATCATTGTTCCTTGCAACTAGTAGAAAGTGGTACCCATAGGTGTCCTTTTTGGTTGTTTTGGTAGAAAAATTGAAGGCCCTGGTTGACCTGGTGGTTTTAATCATCTACCAGGGCCATCTACTTCCTCTAAAATCTAAAAGGCCACCTATGGTTGTACCAGGTGTTGGCCGGGGGTCGTTTGACTTGACAGGCAGTTGCTGACCGCAGACTGGAGGTTCGCCCGGAAGTACTCCGATTTGCCGGGTGCGGTGAACTGGAAGAAGCGCTGGATCCGAGCGCTGGAGGATCGCCAGTGGAAGCCAGTGAGGTTGCCAGCCTAAGGCTCTCACAACCCCCCAAAAAAAGAGAAGCAGAACGGCGCAGGAAAAGAACGAAGGGGCGGCTGGGCGGCTGGCCTTTTTTTTTTTCTTCCTCATGCAAAGTGATGTTGAACGCGGCTGGTGAGCTTCTTGTCCTTAGTTCCCGGGACATGATGTTTTGCTGCTTTGCCTCAGGCTGCCTCTGCAGACTTTACTACATAGGCGCAATCGGTGTCAATTTGGATTTGGGGGAACCTGCGTAATTTGTCCATGTTCTGGGCAATTTTGAGTGTGGTTGTGGGTCTGGGGTGTTCTGGTTTCTGCACACCCGTGTTACGTGTTGAACAGAACTTGATGTCCCCGATAGGCCGCTGCTGGACCAGACAGAATTAGATGGCCCTTATGTGGGCAAAGGGGATGACTACACCAAAATGGCGAGGTTGTGCATGGAGTGGATCACAAACATGTCAGCAACTGGAACAATTTATGAGAGTGTTCCACCGTGTGTGTGTGTGTGTATCCTGCATATATGTATATATATATGTATAGACATAGATTTGTGTGCGCATGTAATATGTGTGCGCACGTGTGTACATATATTGATATACACATGCATTTATATGCATATGTAGAGAGAGAGAGAGAGAGAGACAGAGATCGTCATGAAATTCAATGGGAGGGACACTCTCAGACATGGTTGCTGGACTTGCACTTTCAGACATACTGTACGCCCAAAAACGAGTCCAAGTAAATTCCGTACCAACGATTTTTTTGGATCTACCATTGCTGTGAGGGCATGAACAACTAACCAACATCCCCCCAAAATAAAAAAAAATGGCCCAGATGGCCACCCTTTAGGGCGGTTCTACCAGGAGCACACATTTTGAGTGCCCCGAAATCGAGACGCCGAGGTCTGGGTCCCTCGAAGCGCCTTGGACTTGAACTTCCTGAGGCCGGAAGGGTCGCCCCTTGTTTTCACGGCGGAAGGGTCGAGTTGGGAAGCAAAGGGTTCGGTTTTTTGGCGTGATGGGGTGGGGATTTTCAGAAGTCAGGGTGTGAGTTTTGTTTCCTGAAGGGCCTTTAGATTCCCCTCGCTTTTGGTAGGGTCGTGCTTCAAAGTATCTTTTTTGGTGCCTTTGCAAAGGATCTCTGCCTGCTTGAAGGGGCTCGTTTCAAAAGGTTCGGTTACCAGGTTTCGTTTGGGCGTAAGAGGCCATTGGCTCAAAAGGTGCCGTTTTGGAGTGGTTTCTTGCGCTGGCTTCATGGGGTGCCGAATCCTCCACAGAATCAGTCAAGGAGTCTGGCGCTCGCTTGGGGTTGCTAGGGATGCAACAAGCAATGTTGCACAAAGATGGCGCCTGGCAGACGTACAGACTTGCGTTAGGGCACTCAAGTGCCAAGGGATGGCCATGAACTCCTTAATTTAGACAACATCTCATGAGCTTTGATACTGGCACACATGAGGTCTACTAGCATTTGGACATGTAGATTTTGGGAACTGGGCCAAACCCGAACCAATATATGCAGGGACCCAGCCTGACCATTCCTGGTGTGCTTTCGATGTGGTGCCCATCTCTTTCGAATGGTTTTTTGAGGCCCGTCACCCTTTTCACCTTGGTTTCAAGGGAAGCCAAAACCTTTGGTTGTCTGACAAAATAGGGATTTGGACCCCAAAATGATGAACTCTTCATCATTTTGGGCTCAAAATCCCTATTTGGTCAGACAACCATAGGAGCTCCCCTTCCCCCCCCCTCCCCTTCCTCCCAACCCATTCTGTTGCATCTCAATCGCCAGGTCCCCCACCGCTGGGTCTCCCAGCGCCCGTTTTTCTTTTTCGCCTCTTCGCTCGCAGGCGCGAGGTGAAGGTCTCCAAGGTGATCCTGGAGCTCACGCGCGACAACGTGGCGGCGCTCATGGCCCGCGGCCTCAGCTGGCAGGTGCCGCCGGTCGTGCCGCCGGGAAGTGGCAGGTGCCCCCGGTTGAGAGGGGAGGCCGAAAAGGGGCCGGGGATGTTTTTTTGGGCATGCAGAGAATGGAGTGCGACAGTTTAGGGCAGGTTGCAGACTTAGGACTGCAGGCAGCTTGAAACAGCGGCTTCTTCCATTTCTGCGCACTTGATGCGGTCGATCGAAAACGGCAGGAGCAACGTTACAGCGTAGCGGCTGCGATTCTGTTTCCGGAGATCACGGATTCGCGCATTCTTGCTTTCGCATTCCGCTTGTCCTTGTCTTTTTTTTGTTTCTCCCTCCAGCGTGCATTCGGCCTGTTGCTCAGGTCATCGCGACGCTGAGTGTTTTCGGCGCTGCACCTGGCGTTGCTTTGCTTTGTCAGGGATGGGTTGGGAGAGAACCGGAGGGCAGCAAAGGAGCATGGCATTCTCTGGAACTGATGGCCTGGCCGAAGGTTTTGTGCCGCAGCTGAAAATTTTCGCTCAAGGCACTCGACGTTTCGATCAGCCGATTTTCTTACGGCCCAGTCATGGCCGTGGTCAGCAAGATGGCGCCGAAGAGCAGCTGCGCCGCAGTGGTCCTGGGAGGCGCGGCGCTTCTCGCGGCCCCCAGCTTCGTGGCCCCAGGACAGGGCGTGCCACGCGCTGAGACCTCCGCCCACGCGACGACGGCGCCCCTCGCCTCCGTCACGAGCGCGGCGGGCGCTGGGGCTGCGGGGGCCGCGGCCGCGGGGGCCGCGGGTTTGGCAGCGGCGGCGGGCGCGCGCCGCACGCGGCGCGCCGCCAAGGCCGCGAAGGCGGCACAGGCGGGCAAGGAGCCCATGGAGCCCCTGGCGAGGTGGGGGTTTGGCGCGCAGACGCTCCCTGTTTGACCCAAAAGGCCACCAAATTTTTGGTTGAATTGGGGGTTACGACCCGCACCCCATGAGAAAAGGCCGCCTTGGCCGGAAATGGATCTCTAGCCTGAGACGAGCCATCTTAGGGGGGTCCTATTTAGAGCATATGGGTATGGGGCAAAATAGTTCAACCAGGGCACCGCTGGTTTCAGTGCTTTTCAATGATTGTTGACAAACCAAACGCACAGGCATACATAATTCAGGATTCGAACCCCTGGCAGCCATATCTTCCTGCCTTCCAGGTTGTCCTCCGTGGCCCAGCAGCTGCTGCAGCAGCCCTCGCCTCAGCAGCTGCAGCGCCTGGCCGCCGAGCTCCAAGCCTTCGCCGCCGCCGAGCTGCGCACCGAGCGCCTGTCGGCGCCGGCCATGCGCGCCTTTGCGGAGGTGGTGCAAGGCGGGGGGGTGAGGGGAGCGGGGGGGGGGGGGTGAGGTTTGGTGGGGGAGGCCGCCTTGGGCTGAAAGATGGATGTGTCCTTTGCTAAGGTTGGAAGCCACCAACCAAATAAGAAACAACTGGTGGGCGTTCCTTTTGGTTTCCCTTTAAACCTCAAAAGAAGGGTATGCGGTGTGCCTAAACATGTTTAGCCCGCCAACCTGTTTTAACCACCTCCTTTTGCCGTCTCTCTGACGGGATGAGGGTTGAATCCTTACAACAAATGCAAGCACCAACTGGCCACGCTTTCCTTTTGATTCCAAACAAAAAGCACCCTAAAAAGGCCTTTAACAAAATCGCAACCCAAAAGCAAAACCCTAACATCGCAACCCAACCAAGGGTCCCCCCCCTCCCCCAAACCAACAAGCGGCCCCTCACACCTCATTTGCTTCAGGCGCGGAGCGGGCGCTTGCGAGCGACGCGGCAGGCCAGCTGCGCTGGGCCGCCAGCTCCGCGGCGGCCATGCTGCTGAGCTACGTGGTGACCCTGCAGCCGGCCCAGGCGGGTTTCGGCCCTGGAAAAACCAGGGGCCGTGGGTCCACATTCATGGGATGCCATGGGGTAGGTGAATTCACCACCCAGGTGAGGTTTCCTAGTTTAGTGGTTGGATTGGTTGATGTTCACTGGGGGCGAACCGGGGTTTTGACCCATAGCCGCCAACGTGGGTGTGGTCAAAAACCGCTCACCCCAAGTTGCCCGGGTAGAAATGGGGAAAAAGGGGCCCAATTTTACCTGCCGGTCCTGGGGCTTGAAAGGCGGCGGATACGGTGAACTACTCCGAGTTCCTGGACTCCATCAACAAGGGAAATGTGGAGATGGTGCGCGTGCAGGAGGACATGCTCTCAGCGCAGTACACCACCAAGGATGGCTCTCGCCGCGACGTGAACCTCATCCCCAACGCGCAGATTGAGGATCAGCTCTTCAACCGCCTGGCTGACAAGAAGGCCAGCCGGCCGGTCAATCTGATAGGTTTGTTTTTCTTGGCCCGTGTGCTTTCTTCATGTGTTTTTGCTTCCCATGCCCAAAAAGCTGTTTCCTGTTCGTCTTCCCCAAAGAAAGGTTTTTTCAGCTCAACAAAAAGCGTGCGACCTTTGAACCTGGCTCTTTTGCTGCTCAGCCCCAATCAAAATCCGGGGGGAGTCCACCCCCCTCATGTTTCGCCGCCCCCACCGGGGTTTTCCGGGTCAGCCGTCCTCTTCGAGACCGCGCCGTGGGTCATGGCCCCCTGAGGTGGACGTGGTGATGGCGGGGGTGGGGTCCCAGGGCAGCCCGCTGGACTTCCTGGCGCGCTTTGCGGGGCCCATCTGCTGGCTCATCGCCGGGCTGCTGCTCCTCTTCGGGGGCTTGTGCCTCGGACGGACGTTTCTGCGTTTTTTTTTTTTTTTTTTTCCGCGGGGGGTGAAAAAAGCGGGGGTGGAGGTTTTTTTGTTGGAGGTCGTGGGGCGGTGGCAGGCACAAAGCCGGCCTAGGCTGGTGTTCGGGAGCTCTGACATGTTCGGCTTCTTTGAGGCCCTTTGTTAGATGAGGGATCCCAGGCATTCGGGTGGCTGGGTTTCTAAACTTTTAGCAGGGGATCTGAGGACAGCTCAGTATTGAGAGGGGTGGTCTCTTGGACGGGGCCACTAAAACCAAAGGGTGGCTGCCTGCTTCAGCGACTTTGTCTGACCCTTAGGGTAAGGCCAGGAGGTTGCTTCAACAGGCGCGGGACCAGAGGCTCGGGAAAGCAGGAGTCTCAGGGAAGCCGGTGCGCGTGAGTGGCCGCGTGCAAGACTTGGGATAGGCGTTTTGGTTGTGGACTGGTAGGGATTGGTTGGTAGGGCGGTTAGGATTGGAGGGTGGACGAATGACCAGGGCATTGATATACTTGGTGGCTCCAAGCCACCCCCTTAACTTTTTAGCTTCTTAGGGTTTAGTGGGGGTTTCCATTTAATCCATTAAAGATGAACCGTTTGGCAGGGGATCTGAAAACGGACAGCCCATTAGAAAGAAAGAATCAGAACATCTGACGGCAGGTAGTGGAACCAAGGTGTTGCTGCCCCTTCTTGTGGCCTGAAAGACACGAACTGTGGCAGCCAACCTAGGTCCAAATCCCTTTTTTCACACATACCAACCCAAAGTTTTTTTCTTCCCAAAATCCATTTTGAGAAACACCCCACATCAGCTCGTTTTACCCTCTTTTCATGCGGGGATTTGCATCCACCAACCATCTGGGGTGCCTTTGGAAATTCTCGTTTAAAAAAAAAAAAAACATAGCCATCTCGTGGAGCTCCAAACCATGGGTGCCTCCAACGGTTGGTTTCCGTTTGGCTTCCTTTTGCTTTTTGCTTTCCTCCTGCTTTCCTCCTTCTTTTTTTTGGCTCAAGAATCGGTTCCCAAGAAAAATCGGAAGGGACCTCGCGGAGTGCCTGGATTTGAGGCCCTTTGGTCCAGCCGGCCCTGGGGGCGCCGGGGGCAATCCCTTTGAGCTCGGCAAGTCCAAGGCGAGAGATGGCGATCGGGTCCATCTCTGGGCTGGTGGTGTGGTTCTTTTTGGGGGAGGTTCCAGTTCGTTTGTCGTGGGAAAGGGACACCTCAACAGAAATTCTCACAACATGGATTTGTGCAGGTAACATTTGTGTAAAAGGACTTGGACCCCCGGAACGGAGCTCCCGGGTCTGTCTTTCGCTGAGGGTACCCTTTGGGGCTTGCTTCGGGATGCCAATGCCAAAGCGACCATTTTGAATGGTTGGGTGGACATGAATCCCTACATGTCGACCAAAAGGTTCATAATATTGGGAGTGGTGCGTTTTTGGGAGGGAAGCCACATTTTCCGGAGCCCTCTTCTTTGACACATACCATTGGCCACCAGTTCCCCCCCCCACTGCGCGCCAGGGAGGTGGCGTAATAACCAGTAGCGTTTCAGGAATTCCAACTGTGGACCCATCCACACCGAGCGTTCTTTCGCGAGTCTCACTAAATTGGGAGTTGGACCCCCAAATTTTCAGTTCACGGTTCAGACATAGGGTCGACCTACGCATGTGGTGCCAATGAGTTCTCTTCGGATCAGTGGGATCACTCGGGGTTTGTCCAACCACTTCTGTGGTACAAGGGAATCTCCCCCTGTATGTTGGGGGGTTAGTCTTTGGGAAGCCCTTTTGGTTGTATCACAGAAGTTGTCATTCCCCACAGTCCTGCTTCAGATCGCTTGTGTGCTTGGGCCAGCAACTTGAGGCTTCTCTGGTCCATTCCAGGTCTCAGCACGAAGTTGATGGAACTTTGCATGCTTTACAGAGATGGAGCCGGCCAAGCACGTTTGCTTCACCCACATGTTTTCCGCGAGTGAGCTGCTGGGGCCTTCCGGGGCGAACAGTTTGAGGTTCGAGTTCTCGCCTGTGTCAGCTGCAAGAGGCACAGAGGTCCAGCTATGAACCGGCAAACAGAAGCATTCCTACAGCAAAACCAGGATTCCAATGGCGGCATCATCATTCCAACGGCAAACAACAATCATTCCAAACAAACAACTCAAACAACGAAATCATAGTGCACTGACTTGCAGCTCACATCCCACGAAAATCCCCTCCCCCCCACCCTTTTCCATTTTTTCTCCGTTTTTTGGGTGAGACCCAGACGTCAGCCGGATGTCAGATGCGAGGCGCGCATCATCAAGGACGGGGACACCAAGTGCAAGTTCGCGGACGTGGCGGGCTGCGACGGGGCCAAGCAGGAGCTTGTGGAGGCGCGGGGTGTTTGAGGGGTTGACGGGTTGACGGGTTGGGGTTTGGGGGGTTGGTCTGTGTGTGTGTGTGTGTGTCACCCTCTAAGAGGTCTAACAAAAAAGGGGATGACGTAGAAGGAACCCGCCCCCCCCAAAAAAAAACACACGGGAGATCCGGCAGTTTGGAAGAAAACAATGTGGGGTGAAGATGCGATGTGGGGGTTGCTCGGAATTGGATTCGGAGCTTGTGTTTAAAGGGAGACCAAAGAGACACCACTTTTTTGTCAAACCGCCATGTGTCAAAACTAGAGGAGCCTCAACATGGTTGGTGTCCTAATGGTTTCCCTTCGACCCTGCTTGAGTTGAGTTGGAGCATGAAGGACGGGGTGAATCATCCAAGGTTGAGACATTGAGTCCATTAGAGTCATTTGCGTAGTCATTCTGGGGGTTGTGGATGTTTCGTTGGGCCGGAATGCACTCATTTCCTTTGTGCTAGTCGAGGATGCCCTTCCATCCGTGCCATGGAAACCTGGCTGCTGGGGTCAATTTCTCGGTAGAAAGGACATCACATCATCCTCCCCTTTTGGGAGCCCTATACTTCCCCTCTAAGTCATGGTTCGAAAGATCACCCGAAACGGCACACATCTCAAGCGAGTCTGTTCTGAAACATCCCCATCTTGTTTTGGTTTTGAATGAGTTACAATCACCTCATCACCCCGCAAAAAAAGAAAGGAACAAAAAGACCGGCTTGGATCACACCAATTTTCTTTTCTTTTTTCTTTTTTGTTCCGCGAGCTTCCTGGGTAAGGAGCCACTTTTTTTCTCCGGAGCCCAGGTGGTGGACTTCTTGAAGAACACCTCTCGGAGCCTCGGCTCTTCGGGCGGACTTGGGGCCCATGTGACCTGGTTTTGCGTTTGGCCACGGGGCAACTTGGGTCCCACGAGTCCCATGGGCATGGGTCAAATTTTGAGTCACCATATGGACCGCAGCCTTGCCCTATTTTTTGACAACACCTAATGGTGCCAACTGATTAGTAACCCCCCCCCCCTTCAAGGTTGACAAGGTTTGGACAAGTCCCAAAAAATGAGATTTTTGGGAGGACCCCCCTGATTACTCTGGAGCCCCTTCGGTCCTCGTCCTCTTACTTCTGGTCCCTTCGGGGCAGTAGGACTTTAAAAAGCAACAGCATATTTTTTGGGTTTTGAGCCTAAAAGGGCCCTGATTAATCGCGGGGGGTTTTCTGTTAATGAGGGGGGACTGGCCTCCAAGGGGGGTCCCCTTTGTGAGCTTGAACACCTTGTCATTTTAAACAAAGTTTAACAAGGGAAAAATGCATTTCGGCGGAAGCACATTTTTTGGGAGAACTTGAGGGGTTCAATAGTGACTTAGTATTGGTGGGTTTAAGCACAGACTCAGCAAATACTAAGCAAGAAGGAAAGCACCTTTCTGGCAGGTTTTGTTGGCTTGGGGGCTGCAGAGGGATACCTTTAATCAGGGGGGTTTTGGGGAGGGCTCACAAATTATTGGGTAGGGTTTTTTTGGGAAATCTTGTTGGCCCTTTGCTTTAGTGTTGGTTGGAACCAACCTTTAATCGGGGGGGTTTACTAATCGTCTGCTGACATTACTTGGGTATTCCTGGCCGCTCTTCTGATTTTGGGGATTCCTTTCTCAGAAAGCTCGGCCTTGGGAGCTGCTGCGGGAGGCCATTCCAACGCCCCGAAGACTTGCTGGAAAAATACATGGCCCTGGTTTACTGGTGGTTGAATCATCTACCAGGGCCGTCTATTTCCTCTAAAAGGGCGCCTATGATGGGATCGCGCCCCGATCGGATCGGAGTCGAGCCGTCGAGTCGTCGAGGTACTCGGAGCTGGGGGCGAAGATCCCCAAGGGCGCGCTGCTGGTGGGCCCCCCGGGCACCGGCAAGACGCTGCTGGCCAAGGCTGTGGCCGGAGAGGCGCGAGGGCGCGAGGGCGCGAGACGGAACCGAGACGGAGCCGAAACGGGTCCCAAGCGGAGCCGGGGCCAAAAAGGGGGGGGCCCAAAAGGTTTGGTGAGGTGTTGTGTTTCTCAAACTGGCAGAAAAGACTTTCAAAGAGTGCCCGGGTGCCTTCAGCCTCGTTTGCCCTTTGTTGACCCTTCACCCTCGGGCACGTTGTTGTGGTTAAACCATGGTTTATTACAAAAGCCCATGGGGCTACAAACTTGTACTACAAACAATACATTCCAATTACCCCTCATGATACTCCCCGCATCTCCCCGTAACGGAGAGGGCGTCCATGTGCGTCGGGATTTCTGTAACACGCATGTTGTTTTGTTGGTCCCATGTCAATCTGAGGAGCAACCCTGCGCCATTGGCCTTGAACGTTTTGACAAGTTGGTTTCACTTTCCTCAGTCAGGTCGTGATTCATCGAGTCCTGCTGAAAAAAGGACATGCCCCATTTCATAGGCGAGGTAGATGCGCCGTAAACCATGTAGCTGATCCCAGTCCGCGTGAGGTTTTCGAAAGAGGGCGCCCTGTTTCGGATGGTTCAAAGGGAAATCAAAAGGACGCCCATTGGCGTTCAGAGCCCAGTCCTGTCGGATGAGTAACCCATACCAACATTTTGCCCACTCCACCATAGACCCGGATCCAAAGTGGCAGGAAAGTACCGGAACCACTGGGTTCCAGTCTCGGGGTGGAATGGATGGTGGACCTGTGACCAAAAAGGAATCCCACTTGCTAGAAATGAAGGCAGTCCCACCCTTCCCAGCGATTCTGGAGATGTAACCAAGAGGCTTGGAAATTAGATGGAACATGTTTGGCGAGTGGGGATTCCTCCCGCCCCTCTTTGTTATTCACAGCTTCCCAGGTAAATGGGGAGGGGGGGGAGGGGGTTCTGGTTCAACTCTTGGGGTGCTGGTTCAACGCCCAGGGTTTTCTCACCGGGATTCGACCTCGACTCATGGGGCCACATCGCAATCAACCCGGGTTTGCAACCACCGGGGATTCGACTCGTTGCACTCGACCCATGGGGCACACGCTCGCCCGACGAGTTCTGAAGGCGGGGGTGCCCTTCTTCAGCATCTCCGCCTCCGAGTTCGTGGAGATCTTCGCGGGCATCGGCGCCTCCCGGGTCCGCGACCTCTTCGAGCAGGCCAAGAAGCCCCTCGGACGGGACGGGCGCGGGTGGCGCGAAAGCCGAAAGCCCCGAAAGCGCTGGGCTTCGAAGTTGGGATTCTCCGGAGGCCAAGGGCTTTGACTTCTTGACTGACATTGGTGTTTCTTGGTTTTCTTGGTTACCACGAGTGGTTTTCTGGTGGTTTTCTAGTGGTTTGCATGGCAAGCGCGTCGAACTTTCGTTGCACGTTCTTCGTGTTTTGGTTGGGGAGATCCTGCTCAGCATTGGCATGGACCCACCAAACCCCAAACCCTGTGAGGAGTCGGAGTGAGCCACCAGCCGCACCCTCAAACTTCCCTTCACATTGATGTCTTGTGCCTCAAAACTAGGCGTGGGGAGACCCTCCCCCGTTTGGCTGGTATTTAAACGAGGTGGCTGTTTGACACTTGAAGACAAGCATGGTTGTGGACATATGAATGTCAGGCCACTGCGTGTAGTACCAAGGGCACCCTTTTACGTGGAGCAGTCACGTGGGAATGCCCACGCAAGTACTGAGTCCTCAAAATTTCGAGACTGAACAAGTTTGTTCAAGCTCTAGATCTTCATCGTAGCTCAGCTGCGCTTTGGCTAGATGAAGGTCGCCCCAAGCTGGTTTCTCTGATCTTAAGAAAACCAATAAGAAAAAAGCGCTGTCTTGAGCTAAGGCTCCCTCAACCACCCATCCACCCCACCCCACCCCACCCCACCCCACCCCACCCCACCCCACCCCAACCCACCCCACCCCACCCCACCCCGCCCCGCCCCGCCCCGCCCCGCCCCGCCCCGCCCCGCCCCGCCCCGCCCCGCCCCGCCCCCCGCCCCGCCCCGCCCCGCCCCGCCCGCCTCCCGCCCCGCCCCGCCCCGCCCCGCCCCGCCCGCACTTTTTGGGAAGCATGTGTTTGCAGGCAAGTCATGAAGCCGGAGTGACCCACACCCAGTCAGCCATCCACACCCACTCCACTCCACTCCACTCCACTCCGCTCCGCTCCGCTCCGCTCCGCCCCGCCCCGCCCCGCCCCGCCCGCCCCGCCCCGCCCCGCCCCGCCCCGCCCCGCCCCCGCCCCGCCCCGCCCCGCCCCCCGCCCACCGCCCGCCCCGCCCACCCACCACGCCCACGCCCACGCCAACACCCACACCCACACCCACACCCACACCCACCCCGCGCCCAGCCCATCCCAAACAAGACTTTGAGAGCCCCGACGTCCGCGAAAGGTCCGCGCCTTGCATCATCTTCATCGACGAGATCGATGCCGTGGGCCGGCAGCGCAGTGCCGGCTTCGGGCAAGGCGAGCGGCTTTTCATGAGATTTTGGTAGTACTAGCAATGCCTCATGTTGCGCTGGCAATGCTGAAGCTGAATCAAGTACGTCTAAGATGAAGTAGTGGCAATACTACATGAAGTGCTGGAAATACTCAGTTGAGTGCATGCAACTGGCAATGTGAAGGAAGAGCCAATGTTTCTGCTTGATTTTTTGTTGGCGCGGCCGTTACGGAGCTGGGGGTATCCAAATTTGCCTCAGAGTCAGGAGGTCAGGGACATGGGTTTTGGTGAGACTATATTGGCACATACCTTGCACCTGTCACAAAGTCTGACCACATTGGCGGTCAGTGTCGGCCCTTTGGTTTCCCTCCAAGCCTCTCCACAAAGGAATCCTCAAAAACAGCCACACCCATATGTTGTGAACAAGTGGCCGGTGTGGGGTGCTTGCAGGTTTTTGATTGTTTTGCAAACCGTGTGATGAATGGACGTCTGGAATCCGTCTCGTTGCGGAGTTTTTGGGTTGAAAAGAGCTTTTTAAAGGCACCGTTGCGATTTGCATTTGAGGGCGTAGTCAATCAACTGGAACCCTGTTTTTTAAAGCAACTGCAGGAATTCCTAGAAGAAATAGGCCAAGCACTCACCAAAAGCTGCAGAGCTTCCGACTGGTTGCTTGGGCACCTGCTTTCTTCACGTTTTTGGAGCGCAGGTAACGATGAGCGGGAGCAGACCGTCAACCAGCTGCTCACTGAGATGGATGGCTTCGAGAGCAACAAGGCGGGTTTAGTCGCATGAAGGGCACCGTTTCGTGGGTCTGTTGTTTGGGGTTGGGGGGGGGGGGGTACTGCTTTTGAGCGTTTTGAAGGGATTCCAAAGAAGACCCAAACAGCGTGCCGTGGTTTTGAGAAGCCAAAGGAAACGCACTTGTTTTTTCAAGGCGATTGTTCCCCAGTGATGCAAAGGGAAACCGTCCAGTTTGTTGCTGCGCTTCGCATTGTCAAGCGGTTGCTTCGGGCGTCGCATGGGCAGGGCGTGGTGGTCATTGCGGCCACGAACCGTGCTGACATTTTGGACCAGGCGCCCCAGACACCCAGCCCCCTCTCTTCAACAGTTTTGTGCAGGGGCTTGAGTTTGAAATCGACTGCCGAAGAAACGAGTGCACCTTGTTCACCAGGGGTCTGGGTGACAGGTTTCCGGATCGGACATCAGCTTGCCCCAGCAAGCCAGAGGGGTGTCCAAAGTATGGCCGGTTTCTTTTGGAGCGTGGCGCCGCCCCTTGGGTGACGCCATTTTGAAGTGGATACCCAAAAAAGGGACCCTAAGTCTCACAACCCCCAGATCCTGTTGTATATCCCTGTGCAGCTCGGGGGATCGGCTTCCCTAAATTGGTATCCAAGAGGAAGCCGCCCTTGTCCCAAGACAAGTCCTGTCCCTTGAGGGGCAACAGCTCTCGTTTTGGCTTTCATTGGGAAGCCCAAAGGAAGCCCACCGATTTCTGGACCTTGGTGCGTGCCCACACCTCCCCTTTTTTGGGGGTGGGGGGGGGGGGCCGGGGAGTTGCAAGGCACTGGTGCGTCCTGGGCGTTTCGACCGCCAGATCCAGGCCGGGCCTTCAGTTCAGTCCTTGCACGTCCCTTCTTGGCTTTTGTTACCGTTTGGGCCAATGACGCAATCCAGTTTACTCTTAAGGCGACTAGTCTTGAACGAACCTTGGCATGCTGTTCCGAGCATCCAACAAACAACCCAAGTTGCTGGAGAATTCCATTCGAAGCAGGTGGATCCTCCGGATGTGCAGGGTCGCACTGAGATCCTCAAGGTGCACGCCAAGGAGTTCGGAACATTTGGCTTTTGGCGCTCGTTTCCCCAAACCACCATGCGAAGGGCAAATTGAGGATGTAATTGCAATGGTCCCGGTTTCATGCCCTCCAAGAAGGGGACATGTGCCATGGTCAAAACTCTGGCAATGGTGTTCCCCTTATGAAAAGTTTCTTTTGGGTGTGCTGCTGGAGGTTAAACAAGCTTGCCCATGCCTTTATTGGTTCCCAATTTGGTTGGGATGTTTTTCGTAGTTTGCCCGTCTCATGATCCCCTTATTAAGAGATCAGCTCACCTGGAGGTTACACCAGCTCACCACGAAGATTGTGCTTGTATCTTTTTGGGTGATTTGGGGGTGTCTCCTTTTTGGCCCCCAACCCCCTAAAAATAGTGTTTTTCCTCTTGCTTGTCCTTTAAGACCACAAACAAAGGGTACCCTCCAACAAAAAGGAACATCCATTTGTCAGCCGGAAGTCGACTTCCGGAAGACTACCTCGCAGGACAAGAACCTGGCGCCGGGTGTGGACTTGTCTGCCATTGCGCGTCAGACCCCAGGCGTGGGAGATGTGCAGATGTAGGGTGTGTCCTTTTCCGCTTCAAAACAGCCCATGAAAGATAGGAATCCCACTCTGCTATCACAGAAAGGCTTAGTTCCACCATTTTTGAACCACACCCCACCCAAACAACCGAAAATCGCGGTACACTGAACAAGAGAGCATCAACCTATGGGGCCCCGGGCCAAGCGCCTGGCATTGGGTCCATTTGGGAGCCCATCTGGGGCAGCCGTGCCGCTGGTTCCATTCCCCCTGTGCCTCGCAAAGCGAAGGTGTGCCTAAGGAGTTTTTTCGGAACACCTGTGGCTTCCATTTGGATTCCCTTTTAGGACCCAAGGGGTGCAGTTCTCAAATCGCTGGACTCCTGGTGGTGTTTCAGGGAAACCACAATCTCAGGTTTCAACTTCCTGTGAGGATCTTTCGCAGCCCGAGTCATTTTCCTAAAGAGAACACCCAGGTTTGGGTTCCCTAGGCCCCAGGCCGTGCCAGGCATGTCCGGCGCAGACTTGGCGAACCTGCTGAACGAGGGCGCCATCGTGGCGGCACGACAGAACAAGGCGGAGATCGAGCCATGGCCAAACCTAGCTCGCTTTTCAAGCATTTGGAGTTTTGGAGGTTTTTTTTTTTTTTTTTTTTTTTTTTTTTTTTTTTTAACAAACCAACATAAATAAATCAATATCTTTGCTTTTCAACTTCCATTTGCTGAAACAAATATATATATATATATATATATATTTCTCCCCTGGTTTTAAAGGGAATCGATTTCACTAGACTTATTTCAATTGTTGCCAGGGGTCGAACAACCAAATGGAAGTCAAGCATTTGGATTTTTGGTTTTGACGTTCATTTACTTTTGCTTTTATGAGCAGTTTTATACAATTTGTGTTATCCTTCTTTTTCCCTTTCAAGCTGCAACAAGTCTCTCTGCCTGCCTTTGCGTTTCTGGTTAAGCCCATAAACGCAAAAGGTCGACCTTGTCGCTTTTTGCTTTTGGCCGAGTCCTTTTGGAGTCCTGTTATCCTCCCCTCTGTTGGAGCTGCAGTGGACCTAGTTGAAAAGGTGGGTCAAAGGGAGCTCCGGGTCGACCAAAACAAAAGTGAGGAAAGGGCACGAAGTTCAATTGTTTTGGGACCTTTTGGTGGACCTCTTTTAGGGGGGGATTCGTGTGCACCGCTTGGGTGAAACCTCGTTCTTTTCGGTTGGGTACCCTTTCTTGGATCTTCAAAGGTCGGAAGAGGCGATCGACAGGTAACCCTCGACCAGTGACGCGGCGAAACTGAACTTGGCAAGTTTCAGTCAGGACCAAGATGACATCGCCAACGCCTTGGAGCGCATTGCCATCGGCTTGGAGAAGAAGGACGCGCCTCGGACGGATCACGCGCCGCAAAGTTGATTGATGCGCTGCCGCAACAAGTCTTGACCAGCCCAACTAAGACATGTACAGGGTACACTCGAACTTGCAGGTTGCTTTCCCATCCCAATGTTCTGCTAGAATCTGACTGGGGTCCTGGAACCACAGTTTTTTTTCAGTTTGGAGAAGTTGATTCGTATCTGGAACTGACAGTACCTAACAATTGCAGCATTTTGGCCATGGACCTTCTTGGGTTTCTGGAGAAACATGCAGTGAGGTAGTTAAACAAAGAACCTTCACCAAGCACGTTCCGTTGGAAAGAGGATACTTGACCGAGCAAGAAACAACTACATCAACTGGCGGCTGGTGAGAGGAATGACCTTCTGACATCCTTCTTCCGTCTCTTAGGCCGTGATGAGCGAGAAGAAAAAGAAGCTTGTGGCTTACCACGAGGCCGGGCATGCCATCTTGGGCGCCCTGATGAATGACTACGACGTGGTCGCCAAGATCAGCATCGTGCCGAGAGGCCCCGCGGGAGGGGTCACCATCTTCATGCCCTCGGAGGAACGTCTGAATTCGGGACTCTACTCCAAGGCGGGGAAGGGATGAGAGGGCGAGGGGAGAGGGTGGAGCCTTGCTCTCCTTGGCTATCCAGGGTAGAGTCAACTTTGAAAGGGAGAGGCCCTTCAGGTGTCACTGGCTGGGGTGTCGGCCTTTTTGCTGAAAAAGCAAAAGACTACCACCTTGGTGCTGATATCGAAACAGACCACAACCACGGCTTTTTGTTTGCCATTTCAGGGCGAACCTCGCACCCCTCGCCGAACCCCCCCCCCAAAACGCGCGGAGGAGTTCCTGGAGAACAGGATGTGTGTGGCGCTGGGCGGTCGCTTGGCGGAGGAGATCATCAACGGCAAGGACAACGTCACCACCGGGGCCTCCAACGACTTCCAGCAGTGCACACAGGCAGGGGGAAACCATAGCACAGCCTTAAGGGGCACCCGGTGCGGATTCTTTTTCAGTTTTTTTCTTTCTCCTTTTTGTTCCGATTTTTCTCACACCCCACCTATGTTGACTTCTCTTCCCTCCACTTTTCCGCATTTTTTGACCTAGCCCCGGAGTTCAGGAGGTGGTTTGTGTCAGGTGGCCAAGCAGATGGTCATGCAGCTGGGCATGTCCCCGGAGATCGGCCAGCGATTGTTGGGAGGCCGGACGTTTTTCAGCCGATTGGCCCAGGGCTTACTGTTTTCGTGCAATCATAATTATGATAATCCTATTACAATCGTTATGATGAATGATTATCATGTTTCATTAGTTTATTATGCATCATGTTCATTTTCAGCGTGTGCAATGGCCTGCCATTCTTTGTAAAGCATCATGCCTGAAGCGTAGAAGGGAACTGGGAGAGGGCCGCGATATGTGTGTTCCCACCCAAAGAGCAAAGGGACACTTGCCCCTTTGCGATTTGCAAATCGTGAAGCCTTTGGGTGTGCGTCTTTTTGAGCGGTACCCTTCTGAATCTGAACCTAGTAGAAACAACAAGGACACCCGAAGCCATGTTTGGGTTCCGGAAACCACCAATTTGGGGACACCCGGAAACTCTGGCAGGAAAAAAGGAAGTTGCACGGGGCGAGAGGCATTCATCCTGCCTGGAAGCAATGATTACAAATGGATGGGGTGGATGGGGTGGAGTAAATAATGTCCAGCCTGTAAGGGGAAAGCATACTTGGCCTGGATAAGATGGACGTCACAAGAAGCAACTTGCGCAGTCCAGATAGCCCAGAATAGATGTATTGTCTATATTGAGGTACGGGTCGGGTTGACCGTCTTTTCCTCCATTTGGCAACTGGACAAGAAACAACACGTTTGAGTCTCGGAAAATCGGCGCGACATCGACGCGAAATCGACATCGACTCGGCGGCGGTTTTGCTGGGTTCGGAGCGTCGGAGAGGCCAGCAGCAGGGGGGGCCCTTCATGGGCCGCGACTTCATGGGCCAAGGGGCGCCGCCCATCTCCCAGAAGCTGAAGCAGCAGGTGGACGTTGAGGCTCGCTCCGTGGGAATGGGCTTCCGGGTGGCCGGGGGGGGGGGAACGAACCGTTTGGGGGGGGGGGGGTCCCGAAAAAAGGAAACCACCAGTTGGATGGTTTTATAGGGGTCATTCCATTTCTCATTGCTGAGAACCATGTTTGGTAGGCTTTGTTTGCACCGAGTTGGAGACTTCTCGGAATGTACGGTTCCCTTTGGTGTCCCTTTGAGCCAACCCAAAACCGATTCCCTCAAAACACACACAGACACACATCCTACACATCCCATATCCTCTTTTCAACAATGGAAGCTGGAGCAAGAACTTGGGAAGGCTACAGTCCTATTGAAAAGGTCGGCAGTTGTCCACTTCCATGTGCCAACCAGTTAGGTGCAAGACTCAGAAAGGAGCATGTGTCAACGGCCATTTTTGACGGTACCCCTTGGTGTGGTTTGTTTGAAGGGGAATCGTCCACGTTGAAACGCTTGGAGCCACCCTTCCGCCCTTCCGGGCACAGCTTGTAGCAGCGCGAAGTCCTGCATGATGAGTCAAGGTCGCCGCCGGCGTGCGTTGGATTTGGGTCACGCGTGCTGGACACGATTGGCCATGCTCAGTTTGTGGGGTTCGACGGATTCCCTATCAAGGACCGATTCATGGTTGTTGTTGGGAGCCATTTTACATTTTTGCTTATTGTGGTTTAGTGGGAAATCTCCACTTAACTGCTGAAATTTAATTTTTTGCCCCCCCTTCCAACGTCAACCAAGGATTTAGATGAAGCTCTTTAGGCACTGCAATGGGCAGTTGTATTAGCTCAACCATCGATCCCGGGCTCAGCGCACGCCCAAAAGAGCGGCAGGTCAAGCGCATCGTGGACGAGCAGTACGAGCGTGGCATGAAGCTCCTGAGGCTGGATTCCACAGACACGGGGATCGGCCCTTGTGTGTCATTTCCGTTTGGTCTCACGTAAAGACCAGCCCCAAAGGGGACTCTCAAAAAACAAGAACGCAAACGCACACGCACACGCCCTCATGTTGGAAGCCCTTTGCCACGGAGCTTGACCCGGCTTAGCACAGCTCAATTGCCTGGTGATGTCCATCGTGTTGAACCAGGTCGGGCGAACGGCTTTATCATTGGCAGTAGTACGGAAGTTCTTCTGTCAAGCCTCCAACGAGAATCTTTCGTGCATCCATGTGCCTCGCAGACGTCAGACACTTTCCAAGACCAACCAACACAACACTCAAGACCAAGGCCAAAAAGGGGGGGCAGTCCCAATTCTCGGGTGCGGCCGCTCTTGCCAATTGCTTGGCATGGATTTGGGTGCGTGGCTTTTGTGGGGCACCCCTCTTGTCGTTGTAAAGGGAATCCAAGAGGAAAACCACCAGTTTCAAGGGGGAGGGCGGGCGGGGGGACCCCAAAAAATGACAGACCCATTTGGGTAGCCCATTTGAATGCCGGGTTTTGAGTCTGACTCAAGCGCGGATCGTCTTTGGAAGTCTGATGCCAAACGGCAGGGACAACATGTTCCTGCTGGATGAATTGGCCAAGCTGCTCATGGAGCAGGACTCCGCAATCTGCAAATTTGCATAGGCCCAACGCCCATGCAAAGGACTGGAGAGTCCTTAAGGGGCCTTCATGGCCCTCTACTCACTAAGAGTCACAAACAAGTGGCTCTGACTCTGACTTTGCCAGGATTCTGCTCTTCATTTTATGAGATCAATGAGAGCGCCGCAAAGAATGCTCAAAGACTGGTCGGTAGACAAGGTGAGCTAGATGACGTACAACCTCTGGGGGGGGGCTGGTTGGAGTTTGACCCCCTGAAATCGTCGGGTTGATGCCACCGTTGTGGGCAGTAACCTGTAGTAGATTTGATGATTGTATACAATGAATATATATATATATATATATATACACATAATATGGTGCTGTCAGGCCATACCCGGTGTGTTCCTGCGGTAAGACACAGAGCCCTGATTTTGCATGGTTAGCTGCCAGAGGGTAGCCGCTCATGGGCTTGGGCCTGAGCTGGCCGTTCATTCACTTCACGGTTGGATCATGTTTTTAGTGCTTACACGTTTTTTTGGGGGGGTCCTGTTCATTTTTGGGGCTGCAACACTTCAGTCCCCTTCAGTCCCCTTCCATACCAAGGGTTGGAAAGCTTCAGGAGAAGGTCAACGGCGAGGAGCTGATGAAGTTGATCAACAAGGCGGCTGCCGATGGCCACTTGGCCGAAATGGCGACCGGGAAACCGCGGAGGTCCGGCGCGGGCGGTTTTTCGGTGGCCGCTGGCGTGTTGGCGGACCTTCAGTTTCCGTCATGTTGTCATGCTGTGCGTGATTTGAAGACACCCTTTTCAGGTGGGCTTACAGAAGAATGAGAAGGAGCACCTCCATTTGGAGGGATCTCCCTTTTTTGGCAGATCTCCGCTTACACACGCACACCCATAGAGGAGTTTTGAGGGAGAGCTCTAGTAAAGTCATCGGCTTGGGTTGGCCATCTGTGGAAAGTGGTACGGTGCCCTCAAATGGTCCAGCTCTGCAAGGGGCAAGTCCGCTGGATTTGTCCGGGTCCATGAGGCCCATTTGTGTGTGTGTGTGTGTGCTGAGTTGGTACCTTTTGTGTTGGCGTCCAAGTCCTCTTGACACAATCCTGAATATTTTCAGGTAAGCTGGTCTTGGGCAACAACAAAATGGCCATGGCTGCCTTCACCGGTGAGATGGTGGACTCTGGTGCCAAGAAGACGCAGCGGCTCGGTTTGCATAGAGTCCGGGGAGCTGTCTTCCACTGCGGCAGTGAGCCAGGTTGGCCAGGTTGAGCACTTGAGTGAACGAAAAAAACGAGCACATGGCAAAAAGAAGAGAACGGGGGTCTGGGCACGCAGGCCTTGCGACAAAACACAGGGATGTCAGTTGCGAGCCTGCCCAGTGATGATGTTTCCGGACGTTTCTTCCATTCGCCAAACAACTTCCTGAGATCCAGTAGTCTATGGTCCATTTGAGAGGGACATGGGGGAATTTCAGTCAATTCCTACCGACATCGCAGATTCAGTATGTGACTTGGCATAGTTTGACCGCAAGGTGCATTCACCCGGACAAGCCCATGATGTTCGCCTGCGCGGACTGTCCCCGCCGGGGCTTCTGCGGAAGCACCCGCGACAGCCTCCCGCCGGCGCGCGCGCCGCGCTCGGCGCGAAGGGCGGTGGACAGACTCGGCCTGGAGGCTGAGACAAAGGAGACCACCGGAGAGGTGGTGATGCGCAAGGTGCAGGAGCGGAAACTTGTCATTGTAATGTTCGCACCTGGATTCGCAAACCTGTTGCCCCAAGAGGGCGGGGGAAACCCACCTATTTGCCAGTTTATGAATGGGTTCCGTTGCCTGCAAAGAGTGAGGATTCCTGAGATGGGAGGCCCCCGATTCATCAACCAGTTTACGGTTTTTGGGTTCTCGTTCTGCGAGATAGCTGAATAGAGACTAGCCACATAGGTGGTTGTTCACAACAGCAAGACCTTCCATTTTGCAGTTGAAGATTGGGTCTAAAACACGACCGGCGCTTGGACGTAGGAGATGGCAGATCAAGTCTCCAATGGCGCAGCGTTGCCTAGTTCGGTGGTGAAGTCAGCTGCCGTGCCACTTGGTCCGTGAGCGACAGGGACCACTGCCTGGGTATATGGATGTGACACATTTTGGGGGGCACAGCCTTTTTGGGTGGTTTCAAAGGGAAACCAAACAGGAACCCAACCTTCTTTTTGTTTGCGAGCCCCGAATTTTGAGATCTCCCCATACGAGCTTTACAAACTCTTGTTGGGGGGTCTTAGCAAAAACAGGCACACCTGTGTATTGAACCATTGGTTCACATCATCCGCCAAGCATTTTGAGGGAGGTCCAAGCAAAGTTCCGTCGGCAAGGCCGGAGCTCGGGACGAGAAGAACTGGAACTGGGGTCGGGGATGCCATAAAACGGATGAACCGAGTTGGTTGGCCGCACAAGTGATCCGGATCACCTCGAAGATGCATTGGACACCCCGATGACAGCGACCACCAGGAGCAGCGCTGTGCAAGCAAAATCCAAGAGTCCAAGACTTCTCGCCGCTCTCAGGACATTTTCTCAAGTTGAGTGTTTCGCAACTTCATCTCGCATTTATTCCAATTGGCCTTTCCAGCTTAAACATGCCCACCCTGATAAGTTCATCTCATAACATATGTTCAAGTTCGCCTTTCCAGCTCAGCATTGCTCGCCGGAGCCCACTTTCAGAACATTTCTCAAGTTGAGCGTTTCGGAATTTATCCTCATAGTTTTGCCCCTTTTCGGGGTGACCTTAAAACGGGAAACCGACCGGAAGCCACTCATTTTAGGGGTTCCCCTGTTTGAGACATACCAAGTTGTGGAAAAAGGGGGGGTGCATGGCCTACTTTCGTATCACAAGTTTTGAGCGTTTTTCCCCAACCATGTTCAGACGAAGATAGAAGCCAAAAGGAGTCAGTAGGGCCTCGATGGCATTGTGGAATCCTCAAGGTTGGCAAGAAAGGAGTTCATCCAAACACGCCAAGTCAGATCTGTTTTGGGGGCAGAAAGGTTTTGGGGTGGCTTAGGAAACCAAGGGAAAGGCGCTCATTGGTCCCTAGATCTAGAATTATGTCCACTGCTAATCTACAGCCTGTTATTCTTGACTCCACATCCGAGTCCTAGTCCGGTGTATCCCCCGCATCCTCCGATTCCTCTGAGTCCCGGTGGGTTGGGGTCTGGCAAAGGTCCACCTTGGCAGCTCTGGCGGCCACCGCGGGCCCGCTGCCCGCCTTGGCGGACGACGTGCCGGCCCTGCAGCAGTTCGGGGCGCCGGGGGCGCCGCAGCAGCAGCAGCAGCAGGCAGAGGGGGGGGTGGCGAAGAACTAAGGGAAAAAAGGAGGGAAGGGGGGGAAGGGGGGCAAGGGGGTCAAGGGGGGGGAGGGTTTGGTGGAACAGAAGTGCGAGGTGGGCGGCTCGCTCATCGTATTTTTTTTTGGAGGTTGAAGCTCCTAAAAAAAAAACAAACCAAGAAGGGGTGCCCTGGAAAAAAACAGACAGATCCAGGTTTGGGTAACTTTTTTAGGATCGCCCAAGGCGATGCCAAGATTTGGAAGCTATTAATACACAAAAAAAGGTCAGAAAGAGGCACTTGTTGAAACAACCAGACCCACTTTGGTTCTCCTTTTGAGGGGGGAGCAACAGGTTGCTTCAACACCGGGCGTTTAAAGGTGCTTCAACAGGGTCTTCCAATCTTGGAAGTGGGCAGACCGAGCCCTCACTGAAAAAGAAGCTTTCCAGTGGCTCTTCAGCTGATCGGAAGGCAACGAAGGCGCCCACCGGGCCCACCTGGGGTGAAGCGACTGGTGCGACTCCAACCCATGGACCAGTCCTCCACTTTACTTCGCATACCATCTACTTTCACCCTGGAGCTGTTTTGCCCCATGCAGCACAGAAGCTCCAAACCTGGTCACTGCAATCATCTGCAATCTGTCCTCAGAGGCAGGTGCGGACGATGCGCCCATTGGCCATTTAACTTGATTGCTCTTGGGTTGGATCTTCAGACTTTAAACTTGTTGCAGAGGGGTCAACAGCAACCAAGTTAATATCTTAGCTTTTGCACATGGAGGTGTTCAGGTGGACGAAACGCGAGGCCCAGGTCCGCGTCAGCGGGCGCGTGACCTACTCGCGCTTGTTGGAGTTTGTGGACGAGGGCTCTGTGCCGCCTTGGCTGAAGTCTATGGGGGATTCAAAATCAGGGTGAACCCCAAAATGGATTCCCTCTAATTTCTTGTTGAGGAAACACAAACCGCGGTTTCACAAAATTTACACATACCTGTTGGAATACCACGCCGATTGGTTCTTCCTGGTGGATTTCCAGTCACAGTGCTCGGAGGTGATCTTCGTTGACTTTTGGGTGCTTCTCCTGAAATTCTTTTTCGCATGCCATGTTTTTCTGGGACGAAAGCCCTGCATGAATTTTGATTGGGTCGTGTGTTGCGCCGTGGGAGCAACTGAGATATTTTCTGGGAGTCTCTTGTTAGTTTGCTGAGGATGAGGGGCAAAACGGGGCAACCCCATTTCCCACAAAAACCGGAGAATGGCACCACGTATGTTTTTGCCTGCGGCTCAACGGTGGCCGGGATCCTGCAGAATGACTTTCCGCGTTGTTCATTGAACAAGTGTGTTTGAGCGTATATTTCAATGGTTTGGAACATCGCATGACATTGCGAACTGACCAATTGGCCATTGAGCATTGAACACGCCCTGTGTTTATGGACGATAGGGCATAGAATCGAATATTCAGTCAACAGTGACATGTTAGCTACCTGGAATTCTTTCATGCCAATTGGCAAACTGCTGTACAGCTGGGCCGCGCTAGTCTCTGCGCGCCACGACGTTGGGAAGCCTGCCTTTTGGGTTGCCCTCAAAGGCGGGGTGTGATAGACACCGTTTGGGTCTGTCTTTTTGAGGAGACCCGCCAAAATGGCTTCGTGTTGTCCTTGTGGTTTCTCTTTAAAACCCGCAAAACAAACAGGTAGTAGCATGGTGATGTTTTTTTTGGCTTCCCCTGAACATCAGGAAACAAACAAGGGGCAGCGGCAAAAACCTTGACACATCCTCCAAAAAAGGACGGCGTCGCCCGCAAACGCGGGGAGAGGAGCGGCTCAGGAACATGGGTGTCCAATTTTGGTTGATTTGGTTGAAAAATAGAGGGCCCTGGTTTACCTGGTGGTTTAATCAACTTCCAGGGCCATCTATTTTCCCAAAAAGGACACCTGTGCTCAGGAAGCGCGTGGACTTCTACGACCTCGGGCGCACGGCCGTGGCTTTGGTGAACATCGCCGGCCGTGAGCAGCAGCTGGTTTGCGACCTCCCGGGTCGCTTGGATGTATTTTGCCGACGGATGTTCGGACTTTCACTTGTTGCCAACTCATGGGGTTTCCATGAAACCACTAAAAGTTAAACTTTTAGCGCATTGCGTGCTATGTGATGGTTCAAACATGCTAGTGTTTTTTTTGCCAACAGAAATGGGGTCCAACAGCCCAGAGAGGCAGAGTGATCCGGAGCCAAGCTTGCGAGGGAGCGGGTGGACGTTCCGGTAAAGGTCGGCTTCGAAGAAGCGGTGTGTGACGCATTTGATGGCAAAACCAATTTGTTGTCCTAGATTTGTGAACTGGTAGTTCGCTGGTTATTTCCAAAATGGGGGGGGGACCCTAAAGAAGACACGCCCATACCGCTTGCTGCCAGATTGCGACACCGCACATTGCACAACCAAAGATGCATCAGGGACCCTACTCAGGTTCTAAACGGGATCGCTTGCACAAGACAGCCATGTGGCTGTGGGTCAAAAATAGGTACCCCAAATGGAACCCTGGTAAGTGGGAACATGGACCAAAACCTGAGGCCCCCTGGTTTAATTTTGACCCATACCCATGTCGCATCCGCTTTTTGGACTCCCCAAAATGGCCCCGCTGCTCGGTGCTTTCCCACGTACGCAGGTGCCACCACTGGGCTCATCGAGAAGCTGTCGGCGAAGAACGTGGCCATCGAGGCAGAGGGGACGTCAGTGCCAAGATAAATGACGCTTTGGATGGCTACGTATAAGGTGTCCACTAGCCCCGAACCATCCAGGGAATAGCAGACATAGACGCAAAGGTGCACACACTGTTTTCTAGTTATTTTTTTTGGTTGGGGGTAGTGAAAACCTGAACGGGAAGAAAGTTATGGAATCCAGCCCAAAACGGGTTCCATTTCGTCTTCAGCAGGGTCACCACTGGAAGATCGCCATTGCTGGGACTTGGGGGCAACAGGAAATCCATCAGAGCAACGGCCCCTTTTTACTGGAACATGGGCTCCAGTCACCTTCCATCAGAGGGTACTTGCTTCGTTTTGGGACGACGCCCGGCCGAGAGTCCGTGGCACCTCCAACAAAAGATCGGTGGGAGTTGGTGGCAAAACGAAGTAGGGTGGCTTCTCAGAAGATGGGGCTGGGATCTGATGGAGACTTGCCAAGTCCGAAGAGATGGCACGGCTTTGTACAATTCGATGCCATTTTTGTTTCCGCCGATTTCATGGGTTTAGGGTTTAGGGGTTTGGGGGTTTAGGGTTTAGGGTAGGGTTGAAGGACATGCTTTTCCACCTCCTTTTTGAAAGCCCTTGCAAGTGGGCATGATGATTCTCAGAGCGCGAGGTGCACCAGCCAGAGAAGCCGCCACCCGGTGCAAGAGATCGGATCGGGGAGGATTTTGTGTCATGGTCTGGATGCTAAGAGAGTGGAAACGCAGGGAAACCGGGGACATGGTGGGAACCAGGGGTTTAGATTGCCGCTTTCTACATCAAAGACATCCCTTAAGTGACAAGTAGTCATAGGGATGGCCACGTTGGTATCACAGCACAACCATGTTCAGATGCTGAGGGAAATCAGTAGTAGCCAAAAGGAGTTAGCAGGGCATGATGGCTTGCTGTGGAGTCCAAGAATTCACTCGAACAAGCCAAGTCAATCTGATGGTTGCTTCAGGGAAGGTCTGGTACAGAGCAAACTACTGGCCTGGGGTCACAGTTCCGCTTCCAGGTCTTCCATCCCTTTCACTCACTGAAATGGGGATTGAGCCCTCTTTCCAAGTACTTCAATTCTGCCATTAGAGAGAATGCGTACCTACTTAGGAATCCCGTTCCCTTTCCCGACAGAAGGGGCATTCCGTCAACTCTCCCTACTTGGGGTGCGCTTTTGAGGCTCGGTACCCTGTTTTGGGTTGGTTTAAAGAGAAAGCAAAGCAGACATTCGCCACCCAACTTAGGGCTCCCCCTGTTGTGACGCATATGTATATATATATATATATATATCAGGCAACTTCAGAATTCTCAAAGACCACTTTAGTAAAGGCGTGTCGTTCAAGACTGTCTTTTTTGAACGATAGGGGAATATACCATGGCACTATGCTTTCTCTCCACTTAGTGTTTGAGGAACCCACTGCTGGGCGTCCTGGGCGACGTGGCCTTTCCGCTGCTGGTCATCGCCGGGCTGCTGTTCTTGCGCTCCAGGCGGGGGTTCTTGGGGGTTCTGTGCGGGGAAAAACCACCTGATCTGGTTCCCTTGAATGAGGTCCCAAGATTTTCCCTTTCATGGTCACCGTTCCATCCTTTGGGTTGGTTTCATCAGGCTTTTTTTTTCCAACTCCGAGAGTTTTCCTTGGTGGTGATGCGTTTTTGGGGCAAAGGGGAGACCCTGAGATTTGGTTGAAACCAGATCCTGGTTCCGAACCATTTCTTTCGCCCGAAGGAGATGGTTTGAGCCATTGCAACACAACCAACTCCGAGCCTTCCCTTTAGGTTCCCTATTATTTGGGTGTGTGCGTTTTAGGGGACCCCCCTAAAAGGATGGTTTTAAAGGGAGCTCCACCATTTTGGGGGTCCCCTACAACAGACACACCCAGAAGCCAAAAAATAATATATATATATATATATGTGTATCTATATATAATATATGATATTTTTATATAAGACATATATTATATATATATATACACATGATATACGTCCCCTTTGGGTTGGTCCATTGGTCGTTTTTGACTCTTTCTCCTCGCCCGAGTTTGACTCTCCGCAGGGCGCCGGGGGGCGGCGGCATCCCGGGCTTCGGGAACCAGGGCAAGGCCAAGATCATGATCACCCCGGAGACCGGCGGCTTGGGAACCAAATTGACTTGTGATTTGGCCGTGGGTCAAAGTAGGTGCACCACCCATTTTAGTCTATTTAGTGGTTGGATTGGGATGTTCACTGGGGGTACGGGGTTTTGACCCGTGGCCATTCGCCTCAGATTCTGTTTTCAGAATATGGGCTTCGAGTGGTTTTCACTAAAGAAAGAAAGCGGTAGTCAACAGGACATTCATCTTCTTCTTTTTTTAACCAAGAAGCAAACACATAGATGAACGGGACACCAATGTGTGAGCTTCTTTCCTTCTTTCGAATAAGGGGGTTCGAGCGAATCTCCACCGAAAAAAGGGTAGAAAATAGGACAACAAGCAAAACATGGACGAATAGGTTTTTTTTTGTTTACAAGAAGAAGCAAACTCACACATGAGTAGGAGACCGATTTGTGATCGGTGTGTTTTTAATAAGGGGGTTCGAGCGAATCCCCGCCGATTCCGGGGTAGTTAGGTGCTCGCCATGATAGTCCTATTTATGAGCGTCCATTTCTTATTTCAGGCTTTTAAGGCTTGTTGCCATATTTTTCAGAGTCAACATACTGGGAGATGTGTCAAAGGGGTCCAAAGCTGGGTGTCCTTCGACTTCCCAAGCTGAGTTCGGCTACAAGTGCTACAGTCATTTGACCGCCCTCTCCTGACACTGTGGATGGACGAAATCCATTTCGCACCACCTAAGAAACCCCAGAATGATGTGATCCCCTGTAAAAACCAGCAAACAATGGTTTCCGATGGTGTCTTGGGCGGTGCGAAATGGATTTTGTCCACAGTAGGGATGGTCATGGGCTTCGGAATCGGCCTTACATGTGATGCCCGGGCTTCCCCCTACATGGATCCCTCCAAGCCTCCTTCAGGACTCTGGGAATTAACGCGCCCTGGTTCCAGGTTGATCTGAGTACACCGGATACTAGGGACGGCTGAAATCCATTCTCGACGTGTCCACAAGGTTGACAATCCACAAGAGAATGGACAGGGCTTATGGTGTTCCTTGCTGCCAGGCATTGCGCGAATGTAAGTTGCGTGCACGGTTGAGAAGCCAAGGTGTTGCGTTCAAAGATGTGGCTGGCATTGACGAGGCGAAAGAGGACTGCTCGTTGACATCGTGGTAAAACAAGGGAAGTCGTGTCCACAAGGTGTCCAATTTTCGGTCGGTTTGGCTGAAAAATAGAGGGTGATTGGCTTACCTGGTGGTTCAATCATCAACCGGGGAAACCCATCTATTTTCCAAAAAGCAAAGCTAATGTGTATGAGGGTGTTCCAGTGGCACAAATGTTCATGTTGAACAGCCCTTTTCGAGGATTGGCCAAGATCCTGCTGCTGTTGGAGACAGGGGCAACATGACTGGCTCGGTGAGTCATTTGAGATGCTCAAGCAGCGCGCAAGGTTTCGAAGCACAATCTTTAGTTGCTGCAAGCGGATTGTTGACTCAACTTCTTTACGGTGGCGCCTCCTTTGGGCATTCAGCCAGATGTGTTGTGAATTGGTTCGCTCTGTCGGGACTTGGCGCAAAGCACTGGCGTGCCTCCAAGAGGAAACTGCGAGGCATTTGGGTAGTCAGAGTGGAGCTTTGCACTGGGTTTCCGCGAAAAGACACTCATACCATGGTTGTTGGGAAGCACTTTACTTTTTGGCTTATTGTGGTTTGGTGGGAAATCCCCACTTAACTGCTGAAATTTTAACTTTTGCTCCCCTTCCAACGTCAACCAAGTGATGTTCCATGTAAATCTGCAGGACCTCCAATCCAATTCCAAGAACTGGTTTCCCTTTCAAACTTTCTCACGGAAAGAGCCCGACAACAAGTTTGGTTCCCCAAAAGTTGGTTCCCTCACAACCCCTCGGTTGGTTCCCCTTAGGGCCTGAAACAACAACCGACTTTCTCGTCTTTTTTTGGGTAAGAGATGCCAGCAACCACCAACCTCAGGAGCTCATGGAGATTGTCGACTTCCTGAAGGCGCCCGAGCGATTTGTCAAGGTCGGCGCAAAGAAGCTCGGCAACTGTCGGTTCGATGCAGTTGGGGCGAAATTTGGTCTGGACATGCGGAAAGACGTGTGCAGGTTTTGGGGTTTCTAATGGTAAACCCCAGGGAACAGTTCCCTATGAGTCTTGGCAAGGCCATCAGTTGCGTTGGTTGAAATTCGCAGGTCCGAGCAATATCCTGGCAGGCACATGCAAGGAATGCAATGTCTGGTATGGATTTGGCTGGCTAAATGTCAATCTCAGTTTTTGTCATGGCGGACATCCCGACATCTTTTTCGTCGGATCCATCCAAACATATTAAAATGTAAATAGAGAAGAGAAAGAGATAGGGAAGGGAAATGAAAGAGGAAATGGGTCCAACTACTAAATATCTTTCCATTTCCTTCTTTCCTTCCCTAGCTTTCATTATGATTATTTATTTCTCTTTTCATTATTCATGTTTATTTCTTTTCCATTTCTTTCTCTTATTAATATTTGATTATTTAATAATTCTTTTCTTTTTATATTATCATCTGTCACTTGTCTTCTTGGCAGGTCTATTCTGTAAGAATTCAGGCCCGTGGCTTTCTTTGGGATGCTCCGGATGCTCCGCATGCTCCGGATGCTTGATGAACATACCGTGTGTTTTACGTATTTTTGGCCTCTCTCCCTCTCTGCAAATCTCTCAAGAGCGCAACCTATATTTGGCGATCCATGGGCGGTTCGTTCGAACACTTAAGATTTATGCTTTGCATAGAGTCTATTCTCGACTACGAAGGGGGGGGGGGGTACCCTTTTTTGCGGTGGTTTGGAGGGAAGCCAACAGGAAGTCCAAATCATTTTGACACCGGGGGGGGCCAGGTTGTCACTTAACGAAGTGGGTGTGTGGTTTTCCTTTCGGTTTCCCACCAAAGTCTAGGGGTACCGACTCCAAGCGAGCTACCCAAGTGGTCGAGAAGCGTTTCATCATGGGCGCCGATGCGCGCTGTGCGCGGCGCGCGCTCCGCGCGCTCCGCGCGCTCCGAGGATCCCTCGGGGCGTGCTGCTGACGGGGCCTCCGGGCACCGGGAAGACGCTCATGGCCAAGGCTTTGGCCGGGGAGAGCGGCGTGCCGCGCCTTGGCGTTGATCCGTCGAAGGAAGCGCGGAGGGGAGACATGGGCAATAAATGGTTGAACTTCCCCCCCCCCCTTGCCTGCAAAAGAAAAGGGTCCCCCCAATAAGTAGAGTTTTTTTTGGGAAAAGAGATCCGAGGGATGGAGATTTGACGGTAGGGAAACCCCAGAAAGGGGGAATAAATTCAACATTCAACTAAGCTTCAGAGACTCTAAATGCCCGATGAAGCAACTACGACTCAGACACGAAGCGCGATTCGGAAACCAAGGTTCAGGAACTACCTTTCCGCGCGATTCAGCAACTATGATTCAGCAACTAAAACGTGCCGATTCAGCAACGAACCAAAGTGCCCAGGCCCGATTCAGCAAACTACGATTCAGAATAAAAAGGGCTTGATTCAGAAACCAACATGGAAACTAACTAGTTCCCGAAAGGCCTCAGTAATTTCCAAATTAGACCGTCACCCAAACATGGGTTGGTTTCCCAACCAACCCCAAAAGGATATGGTCATGGCGAATGTTTGCCAACATTTACAGTAGGATGCCAACTTCATGACATGAGCATTTGTGTCATCTCAGCTTGAATGTTTAATAGCTGCACATGCATTCAAATTTTCGTCACTCATTGTCACTTGTTGTTGATACATGATTGGTATGGATCATTAAAAGAAAAAGCAGAAAGCGTGACAATAGGCTCAACTCCACGCAGACGCACGCACACGCACGCGCACACACATACGCACACGAGCACTCACGCCCACACCCACCTGCAAGCACATGCACATGCGCGTGCACATACACTTACACTCAAACCTTCTTACACTTTAAGCATTCGCTCTTGCATTTGCATAGGGAGGCACTGAGAAGCAACAGGGCCCGGGCCGACTGCTTTGATTCCTCGTCGCCCAGGTTCATCCAATCTTCAGCATCAGAGTTCATTGAGCTCTTCGTGGGTGTGGGTGCCTCTCGAGTTCGCGACATCTTCAAGCAGGCAGGTCTCTCGGGAGGCGAATAGGTCCAGCATGCAGTTGCAGCCTCCCTCCGGGCAGCCGGAAGGTTGTGAAATTCGACAGCTTCCCCAAAACGGCCGTGTCCAATGCTTGTTATTAAGAGACCAAAGGATGTCAACACGAGGCAAAGCGGCACCATAAACCATTTCAGGTCGTTTTCTTGGAACAGGGCGTGCTTTTTTTGCAACATCCAGACCTTGGCTCCCTTCACAGGGGGAACCACCGTGAGGTTGTTCTTTGCACACACGACGGGCTACTTGAGGGCTTAAAAGCCATGAGTTTGTTTGTGGTTCTCACCATGGTTTAAGCAGGTCCATAATTTTTCTTTCCAACCCTGGTGGTTGCCCCAACCCCCCCCCCCCCCCCCCAAAGCAGCCCCCTTGCCAGCTTCCCTCAAATTGCACCATGGGTTCAAGTCCCCAAACCACCAATCCAAACTCACTCACTCAAGTTCGCACGGGGCCTCTGTGGGCGCAGCTGATCAATCCAAACCACCAATTGGGGAATAAACCGATACATGAGGTTGCTTTGTTCACACACCACCGGGTAATTGGGGGCTTAAAAGACATGAGCTTGTTTTCACCATGTTTTTTTGTTTTCCATCCCTGGTGGTTGCCCCAACCCCCCGAAGCAACATCCCTTGGGTGGACCTTGGGTGGCGAAAAGGCCAAGGAGAAGGCGCCGTGCATCGTCTTCATCGACGAGATCGATGCCATCGGCCGGCAGCGGGGCGCGGGCATGGGTGGCGGCAACGACGAGCGCGAGCAGACCCTGCCGTTTGGCCGTGGTGTCCGATCTTTTTGTTGAGGCGAAAAGGGAATGTTGACCCCAGATGAATCAACCCCAGTTCTTTTTTTCCTGGGGGTTGGGCTTACTAAACGCAGGGACACACCCCTAATCCGGGGTCAACATTATCCTTAAGCCGGGGTTTAAGAGGAGAAGCCAAACGGACATTGCCTATTTTGAACAATCCCCTCTTGTGAGGCAAACCTCCTTGGGTCGTGGGGGAAAGATGGCGCCTGCTTTGGCATGAGATGGAGCCATGCCCCTGCAGATTCACAGGGAGCCCCGCAAAGCATTCGCTTTTTTAGAGGAGTCACCAGCTGGACCCTGAAACTACAGCTGAATGAGTCGACTGACCTGGCTGTGGGTCAAAACCAATAATACCATCTTGGTGTAGGTGAATTCACCACCCCTTTGTGGTGAACCGATTTTGGTTGGATTGGTTGATGCGTTCACTGTACGGGCCGGGATGAAAAGCCCATGGCCTGAGGAACCAGATCCTCACGGAGATGGACGGCTTCGAGGGCAACAGCGGCGTGATCGTGGTGGCGGCCACCAATCGCTCCGACCTTCGCTCGGAAAATTGGATCGCTCGATCGCCCGATCGCGCGAGCGCGAGCGCTTGGTGTTTGTTTTGGGCGAGGGGAGCTGCGGGAAATGGGGCCTGGGACAAAAATGGGTGTTCATGTGGGGATTCGTTTTTCCCCCCCCACCTTTTTGTTTGTTTCCTGCGAAAGTGGTTGCGGACTGATGTCTACCAAGGGCCCGCCCCCAATGAAAATGCACGCTCATATTTTTGCGAGGCAACCCCTTTTCAGACTGGTTTGCATCCAACTAAACGTTACATTTGGGGAGCCAAAGGGGGAAGTGCTTCACCTGGCGACGTTGCAGCCCATTTTTGAAAGGCTTGCTGGGTGTTCTTAGACCGTCGCAGCCGGGGGTCGACCACCATCAACAGCTTGTTGTAGGATTGAAGGAGTGCAAGACATGGGTGTGCCTCAATGCAGGCACCTACAACATCGTCCTGTTCGAACCACCCCCACACAGGCCACCCGCAGACAGATTGTTGTGTTTCAGCTTTCCCGTATCCCAATCCTTCCGCGTAGGCCGCGGAGGGTCGGCTGGAGCTCGGGGAGTCTCTCGAAATCGGAGCCCTCGAGGTGGACTTTGCGTTTTCGAAGGGAGTTCCAAGCTCTCGGTTGAGAGCATTTGTCAACTTGGGTTGGGAAAGTGGGGTAGGGAACCTCCCCTAGATCTCGAATTCATGAAGGCCTTCCAGTGGTTACACGGTTGAAGTTCCCACAATCCTGTCTAAGATTGTTCATTTCATCCACATACTTGCCTGAGCTGCCCGAGCTTCTGCTGGACAAAGCTTTTGGCGCCCCTTGCACACCGTCCAGGAGGTTCGCTTGCGTCGAAACCCAACAAAAGGATCCAACCTCTTGGCAAACCCAACCTTTTCTGCATCCAATGGGGTCTCCTCCAAAATGTATTGTATTTAGGGTGGACCGAAGATTTTCAGCAGTTGAAAACCTTTGATTCTTGGTTTTTCTGCCGAGACCATTGCTTCTAGAGTTCCCATGGATCCTACCCCGGAGGGCAGGGATTGTCCTCATGGACCCCCAGGTTATTCCAGCAGAAGCCCAGTTGAGAAGCTTCAAGTTGATCCGCCCTTACAAAATGGCCCTTCTTTCTTTTTTTTCTCCGGGGGTTCAGAAGGGATTTTTTGGCCTCCCCCCAGCCTCCCCAGCCCCCCCTTCCAGCTCCCACCTGTTAAGAGAGAGGGAGTTACTACCACTACCCGCCGCCCCCACCCCAGCTCGGATGTTTCAGTGGCACCTTTTTCCCCTTCTTTTTGGTGGCTGCCCCACTAAAAACGGTCTTCCCCAAAAGGGTTCCCTTTTTTTCCCAGATTTACTGAACCACTGAGCCAGCCACTTTCCTTTTCCCCACCTTCCCCCCACTACTAGTACCATCGCCCCATAGCCTGGCCTCATTAATCTATCATGATCAAAGTCATCCATGATCTAAGTGATGGGTGTTCTGGGGAAACAACCAAAAACCATTGTCTGACTTTGATAAAGCCCTCGAAACGGTCAAAAGAATGACCCCAGCTCCCGCCCGAGGACATCTTGGACCAAGCCCTGCTGCGCCCCGGCCGCTTCGACCGCCGGGTGACGGTAAATCTCCCGGACGTGGCAGGCCGCGAGCAGATCCTCAAGGCCGGAGACGAGAGCGAGCGATCGAAACAGCGAATATATGTGTTCTCTATGTGTGATGTATCTATCTAATCTAATCTAATCTAATCTAATCCAATCCAATCTAATCTAATCTAAACTATTCTATAAATACATACATACATACATACATACATACATACAGACAGACAGACATACATACATACATACATACATACATACATACATACATACATACATACATACATACATACATACATACATACATACATACATACCTACCTACCTACCCACCTACCTACCTACCTACCTACCTACCTACCTACCTACCTACCTACCTACCTACATACATACATACATACATAGGGTTAGGGGGGTTGTTCTGGGTTGATGGCCTTTAGCCCTATCTCCATGCCGGTTGGGAGCGGACTCCCTGATTTCCACAACTTCCGCGCTCAATCCGGGAATTCTGCGAGACTTCCGCGCAAGGGGCAACATTCTATTTTTGATTTAGACAGGTATCCTTGTGGTTTCCCGTTGAATCGGTTTAAACATCACCTTTTCAGCGAGTTTCCCTATATTTGCCCTCTGGGTTGCTTCCAGCATCACCTTTGGTTTCCTTTGAGAGCGATGTTCGAAGGGGAACTATGGGGAACCCCCGTTTAGGAAGCCCCTGGCTTCGGTTCCCTTTTGAGGAACCACCGTTGTGCTTTTTTTGAGGGTCCTTTGACAACATCATGAGAATCAAAATTGAAATCGAGCCACTTTCTGGATAAGGAAGTTCGAAAGCCAGGAAAGTCAGGCATCAAGTTGAACAGGTTCCTGTTCCCAGCTTTTGGACGTTAGGAAACCCTGCCTGGGTTGGGTTTCACATGTTGTGGACATTTTAACCTCTGTTGCCCAGTGGCTTTGTTTTCCCTTTTTTCGGGAAGGGTTCCCCTTTCAACTCAACCAACCAAACAAGGATGCGCTGCCTTTTTCCCCCCTGGAAATCCACTGAGTAACCCCGCACTCTTTTGGACGCTAGGAACTCCTGGGTTTCCTCCCAGTTCTTGGACGTAACACCTGGGTAACCCCGCGGTCGCTTCCCAGTTGGACAGGTCCATGTGCAGAACAAGAAGCTGGGCGAGGGCATCACTTTGAACGAGATCGCCAAGCGCACCGCGGGCTTCAGCGGAGCGGATTTGGAGAACCTGATGAACGAGTCGGCGATCTTGACCGCCCGGCGCAACAAGAAGGCGACGCGATGGGACGAGTCTGGGAGGGCAGCTGCCATGTGGGGGGATTTCTTGAGTTGGTGCCCCTTTTTAAGGCGGGGTTTGCCGAGGAAAATGAAAGGGACACCAGGATTTGTGGGGGTGTGTCTATTTGGACATACCCATATGACGTTCGGTCAGGAGTCTATCCGTACATGTTGAGCACGGTTCATATTTGTCGCAAAATTGCGGAACCTTCCAAAGGGGACCTTTGCCTGGCTTCCTTTCGAGCTACCCCTTTCAAGGGTACCCTGAATCAAGATACCCATTTGTCAAGGCTGATTTGAAGTTCACATTGACATATTGAGGCGCATGGACTGCAAGGCCAGGTGCACTTTTCTCGCGCGTTGCCCCAGATTTTGAGATTGGACTGCCACCTCAAGCTCTGAAGTCATGCCGCTCAAAGCTAGGACAAGTTGCGTGCCCGCTTGGGCTTCGTAACGCCGGTTTTGCACAACATGACGGTGAGCAATTCATGTCGGAAAATGCAAAACTATTTGATGATCGAGGGTCTCCGAAGGGGTTATGAGTTATGGGTGAATGCATCTGGCATTTGTGCATCAACCCATCCTATTCGCTGAGTCGGCGTGAGGCTATCACTATGGACGAGGTCAACGATGCCACAGACCGGGTCATTGCGGGCCTCGAGGGACGATCGCTGCAGGACAAGAAGCCGCCGTCAGGTTGTTAGTGCAGCCACACTATTATTTTTCAAGCAGCCGCCAGCAGTTTAACTGCTTTTCAAGCTGTTCGGTTGTGATTGTGCCAACCCTCAAAATGATGAGTTGCGTGCTTGCCGGATTCTGTGCACCAGTTCCAAGAATTCGGGGCTGGCTTGGCTCACTAGATAGGTCAGGATTCATTTGTCAGACTCTTTAGGTTTTTTCTTGGCACGCGAAGGGCATTTCCCAGACGGAAGGGTTGCCATAGAGCAACCTTTGGTAGAGCAGCGTTTGGTAGGGACCAACACGGGTTCGACCAATTTTGTTTCCCCCACGGTCTTCCCGCGGCTTGTATTGTTTTTTTCCCCCCCCCTTTTCTCCCGCAATATTCATTTTTTTCTCCCTAGCGGGGCGTTGACCGTCCTGTCCCCTCCCGGGTCCTCGGTCCCGGTCCTCGGGCTGGGCGGTGAGGACAACGCGTCCAAGAAGTTGATCGCCTACCACGAGGCCGGCCACGCCATCGTGGGCACCTTGCTGCCCTTCCACGACCCGGCGCGGGGAATTTTCGAGCGTCGCGTCGAGTCGAGTCGAGTCGGCATTTGGTCCGGTTGCCACGGAGCTTGCTTCCAAGTGTAAGCCCGAACTGGTGGTTTGGTGCTCTTTTTAAGGTGCCATTGGTTTTGGGTGCCTGAATTGGTGGTTTGGTGCCCCTTTTATGGTGCCTGGGTTTGGTGCCTGAACTGGTGGTTTGGATTGGTGGTTTGGCTTTGGAAAGCTGATTTCTGAAAGGCTTGGCACCGTGGTTTGAGCTTTGAACAAGCGTGGCAACATGATTGCTGTATGAGGGATTGGCCCAACCCTGGTGGGCAGTTTCACTTGCAGCTTTCGGTTCTTGTCCAGCGAGATCTGTCCATTTTCTCATAAACGTGGAACACCATGGGGTGCCAGGACAGGGCTACCCTGCAAGTGGATGCCAGTTCTTCCTTTTACCTTCAACCAAGGCGGCTGAATTCTCGCGCCAACACCTGGTTCGCGCAGTTTCGAAGAGCCCATCTTGCTTGCTTTTCCTTCAAAACGCCGCGCTTCGCCCCCCCCCCCCCCTCCGCCGGCAAAAAAAGAGAGTCGCGGACACCGAGCTTCTGGCCGAAGATCTCCGGCGACCCTCCCACGGTTTCCGGAGCGCGCGAGCCACTCGCTCCACTCGCCAGGTGAACAAGGTGACGCTGGTGCCGAGAGGCCAGGCCAAGGGCCTCACCTGGTTCACCCCAGGGGAGGACCAGAGCCTGGTGTCCTCGGCCATGCTGAAGGCGGGAGGTTTTTTTTTTTTGGGGGGGGGGGGGGTTTGCGGGCGGGGGCGTCGGGTGGTTTTCTCTTTTTCCACCTGGAAACGGTGGGAAGACCCTTATAAAGAAAGAGGGGGGGCTCAAAAACACCAGTGAAATCAGTGGATTGGAGGGACCAATGACTGGAGGAGAGCCAATGGAGAGGAAAAACCAGCAAAAAGGCTAGGGAGTTTCAAGGAATGAACCAGAGGCCCGAGGAAATCCCATGCCCCATTGAGAATCAGCAAGATTGGGCACCAATTCAGAAGGAGAAGAGTTTCCTTTTCCCTCCATCCAAAAGGGTTCCCTTTTTTGGGCGCAGGACACAATCTCTAGTGACATGCGGGAGTTCGCGTCATGAGGATACACGTAAAACACACCCGGTAGAAATCGGTTGAACTTGCAAAGACTAGTTGCAAGGCGAGTTGCAAGTGTGTCAAGATCATAAAAGGCCGACAAGGACCTGTCCCGTACTTCCGAAGCCACTTCAATAGCCTTGCTTAATCCAGGTTCTTGCTTTGAAGTGATGTCGCACAAGGTCCCACACCCAGAAAAGGTATCCTCAAAAGGAGGTGAATGCCAGGAATGCCACCCAAGTCCACCATGTTTGAGGGTCCATTCAAGTCGTAGCCATGTGTACCTCTGTGCTTAATGTAAGGGTACTCTGAAGCCACATGGAGTCAGGATCATAACCTTATAAACACTTAGCTAGATCGAGGAATATTTACTTGACCGAAGTTGGGCTAAACCTCATGTGTGTAATTATTTAGCCTGTTATATGGGTGCTTCTCAAAATCGTGGACCCCCTGTCAGTTGGCACCAAAGGGAACAACACAAGGACGCCGTGGCAATCTGAGAAAAACCACACACACACACACAACGCCCCAAAGCCATTCTCAGTAGCTCGAAGCCTTTTGGTTTTCCTGGTTTGCTCTGTTGTTCGTCTTAACTGAGACTCACGTTTTCTGAAGAAAAAGTCGGGGGCCGCGTCTGCCGATGTCCTCGAGCTCGGCGCGAGCTCGGCGCGAGTCGCAGGCGAGGATCTCGGGGGCCTTGGGCGGCCGCGCGGCGGAGCAGCTGGTCTTCGGCACTGGCCAGGTGACCACCGGCGCCGGGGGAGACTTGCAGCAGGCGGGGGGGCTGCGGGGGGGGCTGCGGGGGGGGGGGCTGCGGGGGGGGGGCAGTTGAGGTCAGAGGGGTGGGGCGGGGAACCGGGACAGGAGAATGGTGGCGGTCCTTTTGAAATTTCAAGACAACCCCGAACATTCGCACCGAAAAGGGACAAGTTGAAGCCTGAGAGGAATTTCGTCTCAAGAGTTCTGGGCTCAAGTCCTCCAGAATTTCCTGGTTCCACTCACGGACCTTTTGGTCCCCCCGCCCAATTCCACCCGAAAGACCCCCCGCTTTCGCCTGGGTCTGCTTTTCGTGATGGTAAAAGGAAACTGAAAGGAAGCCAACCACCTCAGGGCTTTCCAATTTGAGAAGCACCCATTTGTTCTAAATCTGTTTGGAGAAGGCAGACATCGGGTGACAGAGTCGAAGACAAGTTGCAAATTGGGTTGAGGAGTGCTCTGCTTCGGATCTGGCAGGGCTCACGGAAAAAAAACTCGCCGGCCCTTCGGACACCAAAATTCTCTTTGCACGGTAGTTGTTGGAATCAACCAATAGAGGCATTCGCAAATGGATCCATTTACCAGTATAGTGGGTAACCAAGGGAACCACCCTTTAAAAAGCGAAAGGAAAATGGCTGGTTACCTACTGTATATATAGTGTCCTCAAAAGGTGATCACCTTGTATTTGTGGATCCTTCGGGCGACTGAGACCGTCGTGAATCCCCTCAATTCGTGTCATCGAACATGAGAGACGCCAGTGAGCTTTCAAAGCCAAAAGGAAAATGGCTGGTGAACTGCACCCTTTAAAAACCAAAAGGAACATGGCTGGTTACTATAAGAGTAATGAGCTGGGGTGCACTCGCTTCCCTCCCCCACCCTCCCCCTCAGGCGCCACCCTCCCCCTCCCCCTCCGACAGGGGTAGCCGAAAGGGCCCCTTTCGCCAGGTGGAGCGCATGGCGCGCGCCATGGTCACCCAGTTCGGCATGTCGGAGGTGGGGAAATCCAAATCCTTGGCTCGGAACTTTCGACGCCAGTCGGCGCAGCCGAGGGATGAGCTCGAGTCAAGTTGAAGCTATGGGACTGGGGGGTGCAAGACTTTTTTCATTTTTTTTTTGGAACAGCGTTGAATTCAAGTCGGATCTTGAAAGTTTGCTTGGACCCCCGACAGCTGTAACTTGGGAAGTCGAGGCGTGTTTTTTTTTCTCCCCCATGGGGATACCTAAGTTTTTGCAGCCCCCTGGTGAGGCCCTGGTGTAGAGCCCCCTTTTGTCAAGGGGGCTGCCGGTCAGTTCCAAAGGCAAGCACCTGAAACGGAGCGGTTTAGCACTCCCTGTTCCCAATTTTAGGGCCAGGGCTCAAAAGAAACTTCGGCCCTCTGATTGGGCCTGGCCCCTGAAATGGCAGTTTCCTTTTGGCCCCCCCCCCCCACAAAAAAAAGGAGCGCCAAAGCGGCAGGTGGGGTCCCTGGCCATTGACGACGGGGGCTTCATGGGGCCCAACTACTCGGAGGACGGCCGGTGTTGGTTTGTGTTCCACCCCAACCGCTGTGAAAAACCAACCCACATGCCCCAAACCGGTGAAAAAAACAACACAGTTGCTAGGCACCCAGGTGATTGCTTGGTCGTTTTCAAAAGCCCGAGGGCCATGGCTTTTGGGAAGCATGGTTTTAGAAGGCACCCATGGCAGGAAGCCGCATCCTGTTGGCTTTCATGGTTGTGGGAACCAATAGGAGGCGGTGGCCATTTTCGGTGAGCCGACCACAAATTTTCCCTCAAACTGACAAAGCACATGGGCCCATTTTGGTATCACGAAATGGGCTTGCCGCAACCACGCAAATGTCATGGATCCCCATAGGAAGATGTCCCTGTCGGCCTTTAACAACAAACACAGAAGAGGTTCCCTCAGAGACACCGTGGTCATTTGCCACTCTACTTGGCATGGTACCCTTGGGGCCCTCAGGGGAGAAGGCGACAACTCTGGTAAGGGTTCCGGGAGCCATGGCCCCACTGATTCGGAGCGTCCCATGCCGATGGTTTGTTGGAGGGCTTCGCACAGCACAAAGCCCGAGGCACTGCCTCATTGAACTGACTCCGTTGGCTCCGGGCCACGTTGTCTTTGGACAAAACCCATGGAGGCTTGGCTTCCAGGGGGGTTGGCCATCGACAGCGGAAACCACGCCATGGTTTTGCGTGCGTCCGCGAACGCCGGACGCTCATTTGCTGAAGAAATCATGACAAACAACACCTGGGGCGCAAAAGAAGAATGGGTGCGTGGCGATTTGCCTCACCCATAGAGGTGTTGCACGTGGGGATTCCGAATGTCTTATTTCCGATTGATGAAGCGGGGTGTGTGTTTTTCAGGGAACCCACTTTTGGGTGGTGAGGGGAGACCAAAAGGAGAATGATTCTGTTGGGGCTTTTCTAATTTTGAGTTTGTGGCGATTTACCCACAGTCTTACTAGCAAAGTGTTTGAGAGTAGCCGTTTTTTTCTCCCCCTTTTCGGAAGGATGCCCAGCAACGTAAGGCAGACGTTTGCACCTGCTGACAGGACTTGAGCCAGAAGATCGACGAGGCCATCAAGAGCATCTCCGACGAGTGCTATTTGCGGCTGGGAGCAATTGATCTAGGGGTAGCTTCCAATTCCATTCTTTCCAGGGATCCGAATCTTTCTGGAAAACCTTTTCAAAAGCCCTGGGGAAATGGCGATCGGTTTTCGAAACGAACGATGGCTGAAGAGAATGGTTGGAATCAACCGCTGGAAGTGAATGGACCAGACCCCCCATGGGCAGCTCATGCCTTGATCTTCATGGAAGCCAGGGTGAGACGTGGAACAAGGGGGTGGATCAATATTCCGTTCGGCCCCCAAATGGCCATGGATAACTTTTCCCGTTTAGTGGAGCAAATCATATTTATGGTCATCCCATGTAAACCCCCACATACAAACCAATTGATCAACTCATTCATTTGGGAGGCGCTATCACCCATCTGGCGATTGCTTTTGTGGCACCTAACGAGACAGAGATTCGCGTCTAAAGCGCCCAACTTAGCCCCCCTTCAAATCGCTGGCAAGTCACTAAACTCCCTGTGATCTCCTCAAACCAATGGGGAGGGGACGCCTATCACCTCTTTGGTGCATTTTGCCAAGGGATGTTGGGGCTGAACAACTTTTTGCCAACTCATGGCTTTTCCGAAAAAGTTAGTCACTTTTAGCAGGGGAGCAGAAAGCAACCGGGTTTTTGAGCTGGTACTTGAGGGAAAAAGACAGGTTTGAAGGGATTTAAAAAGGAAGCCGCCATTTTTATTGTTTATTTTGGGGGGGCGAATCCCTATTTTGACACTTACCCATGGGGAAAGCAACCGAGACCTTTTAAACCTAACTCACTTTTTGCGAGGAACGCGCTGACCATCCTCATGAAGAACCGGGCCTGTCTGGACCGCGTCGCGGATGAGCTCACGGAGTTTGAGACCATCACAGGCATGGGGAGTCGGGGCCCACCGTTTTGGGTGGGCTTTGATGGGGTTGGCGGGGTTTGGGGGGGGGTTTGGGGGGGGTTGGGGGCTTGGGGGGTTGGGGGCTTGGGGGGTTGGGGGCTTGGGGGGTTGGGGGCTTGGGGGGGTGGGGGGTTGGGGGTGGGGGGTTGGGGGTGGGTGGGTGGGGTGGGTGGGGGTGGAGGGGCCCTGGAGGGGTGTGTGTGTGTGTGTGTGTGTGTTTGATTTGAGAGGAAACCAAAAGAGGTCGATTTTAATGAGACACCAAAAGGGTTGAGTTTGGGACACCAAAAGGCCAACCACTGGAGCTTCGTCATTAAGGCCTTTCATTGGTGGTTGCAGGCGACCGATTGCTGGAGATCGTCCGCGAGTACACCGAGGTTCCGGAGAAATTGGCTGCGGTCCTTTGATGCCTTGGGCACAACTTCTTGTTTTGGTCGCCAGTTTTGTTTTTTTAGTATTGTTTTTGTTCTGTTTTGTATATACATTTATGTATATGTATATAGAATGCTATAATATATATATATATGTGTATAAGAATGTTTTGGTTTGCTGGTTGATTCTTATTTTATTTTCCGCCAATGCTCTGAGGTTTGAGCCCCGGCTGTATTGATTGAGCGGAGTGTATATCTTTTGAAGCCTTTCAGCAGGAATCCCCGCGAGCACGGCAAGTTCGCCGGTGGACGCAGACCTTTTGCCAGGCTGTCCTTGACTGTGGGGATTCCTTGTGCTCTATCGAGCATGCTTTTTTCAGGGATGAGCGTATAGTACATCATCCCTCCCACATAGAACACACAAATGCATAGTGTTTAATTTCGATGCGCTACAATTTGAAGCATCTTGGCAACAGACCTGACCAATCCTCTTGTGCGTGCAAAAAGGTGTGCAACTTCGAACCTTGAAGCGCCACTCTCGCAAGCATGTTGCCATCTACACCACCAAACAAAGTACTAAAGGGTAAAACACGGGCCTTTCTTTAGTACGTCGCATTACACCCTCGGAGGTTGATAGGGGGGTGGTCTCTGCCCTGAAAGGCCTTTCGGAACGCTCGGGGTCGGGCAGGCGTTTCAACGCAAATACTCCAGTCGCAGATGTTTAGTGTCTCCAAGCTTCCTGCAACACCCTGCGTAAGACTCATGGGAAACGGGGGATGGGGGGGATTTTTTGCGGAAAACGACAGAAGGAACTCCTGGTTTCCGCAGTTTGGGGCAAACGAAGAAAGGAAGCCAGCAGGAGAATAATGGAAAAATGACTCCGGCTCAGGTGCAATCTACCTGTGGAAGATTTGCACGCGCCGGCGCTGCTTGTGCAAGCTTTGTCGGGTGCCACGGCACAAGGCGACGGGCTTTGGGTATGTTTCCATCGTGCATTCAGTACTGATGCTCTTGCGGACTACGGCATTTCTCTGGTGCATTTTGCCAAGGGATGTTAGGACTTTAACTTTGCGCGCTAGCAATTGATAAGTTCCAACAAACCGTTGCACTCTCATTGCTTCCCTGAAGAAGGGTGACTTGATGGCGACCTCCTCACCAGCATGTCACCCGCAATGGACAGGGGTACAAAATGGTTGTTGAAGCCCTTTCACGCCAGCTGCCAGAGCGTCAAACACCTCAAGCAAAGGAAACGTGAGAGGCAAAAAGTGTAAACAAATGGTTTTCCAGCCGGCGTAACAAGTTGATGCATTGGTGACCATATCGAAATCGCAGAGCACAAATACTTGGGCTTCTCTTGACTTAGTCTACACCGTGTTTGTCACAACGCGAAGAACAGATCCCCTTTCTCGCCGTCCGAGAGAGCCCGAAGCCCAGGCAGAAACGCCTACCGGAGTTTGGATTTGCTGGGCGCCGGCGGGTACGGCGTGACAGCCCAGAACGACACGGGGCTTAGGGTGAAACCACCCAAAATGGGGGGGGGGATAGGGGGATGGGGGAGGGGAGCATACTGCTATACCTTAGGTAAGTCGGGATACAGTACCCAACTCTTGTGCCAAAGAATGTCCAAGTGACAAGCTAGGACCAGTTGTCTGCAATCTACTTTTCACGTACCCTCCCATCCATTAACATGGAACCTGACGCTCGGACCAGGTCCCTTTAAAAGGAACATGGTCCAAAACCCCAAAGCCTCAGGTTCCATGTGAATTGGTGGGAGAAAAGGAAGCTAAGACGGATCCCCAGCTTCCGTAGTTGGAGCATTCGGAGTCGGCAAACGCGGTGGCCAAAAATAGCCACGCGGAGGGTTTTTAGTGGTTGGAGCATGTAGCAACCCGTGGTGTCCACCCAACAAGTCCCCAATTCAACACCAGAAGTGATGACCCAAGAAATTGCAGGTTTGCGTGACGACCTTGAAACGCGAGGTTTCTGTTTGATGTCTCCCTTTACTCCCAAAAAGGTGGCCCTTAGAAAAGACACTCCCACAACCTCTGGACACCAAGCCGCGGAAAAAACGGCGGGATCCCGTGACATTCTGACTATGAGGCAGCATATGCCAGACGTTGGCAGGTTATCTCTTTATTTTGAGATCTTCTAATTCTTGTGCGATCTTGTTTTATCTTCTAGTTGTAACAGCATGGGATGTAAGCAGAGGCAAGGATTCCAAGCTTATAATTTATTGTCTTATTTCTTGAACTCTGTATTTATTTCTGAGATCTTGATATTTGCCCCTCTCCATTTCTTGTCAGTTCAATTAAAGTAACATTTGAGAGAGGACATCATCGCACTCACTGGGTGCCACGTTCCTTTCTCTGTCATCATATCTCTAGCCAATCATTCTTAATGTGGATATGACAGAGAAATATTCTTGTACCAGCTCCCTTCATTTCCCTCCAGCATCTGGACTAATACTGTAATAATGATTCAGGGAAACTATATCGAGCGTGAGAGCATGGGTGTATCCGTGAGAGACGGGCGGTATCCCGTCATATTCTGGCTACTTATGTAGTGGCTGTGTACGCCAGTAAACTCAAACCACCCTAGGTGGTGGAAGCCATCTCAGAGTGTCATGGAGAACTGACTCCTTTGCCCATTTGTTGCAGGAGTCCTAGATGATTATTGGGTTGAGTCAAGCAGTCTTGGGCCATGGAAGGTTCCCATCCTGCGCGGTCGCTCGCGTCAACTCGCCGCAGAGTGAGGTTCGGTGTACTTGGTGGAGCGACTTCCTGACCTCTACCGCTTCGTCTCAAAGAAGCGCCTTGGCAACCGGTGCGATTTGCGCGCCCGCCGGTTCCAAGACTTTGGGCGTGGGTGAAAGGGGAAGCTGCACAGCGTGGGTTTTCCTGTGGTGCCAGTGGTGCCCCTTTCAAACCGGAAAGAGGGTGCCCTCAAAAACACAGACCCCCACGTGCCAGAACAGGACGACCATGCTGATAAGCTGATTTGATACAGATATTCAGTTTGCTGTTGCTTGCTGGTTGTTTGAGTCACTGCTGTGGCATATCAACAGGAGTGGCAAATGTGTTGACCCGGAACTTGCCGTCTTTGTTCCGAACACCCGTCTAATGGGTTCCAATCCACGGATTCCGATCGCTTGAACCAATTCTGACCCGTTCGACGGGACACCCAATTTTTGTCTTCCGCCGCCAACGAATCTGATCCCAGGATTCCTGTCAGGGAGATCACCGAAGTGGACGAGTACAGCAGAGAGGCGAAGGAGAGACTCAGCGCGCCATGGCGGGTTTCTTGTGTTTTCGAGGCTCGGCACCCTTGTGGGGGTTGGCTGAAAGGGAAAGCAGAGAGAACCCAAGCGAAAAAATGGGGGGGGGGGGGGCCCTTATTTTGATATATACCCACGGGCTTTGTTTTTGAGTTACCCTTTTCACCCGAAGTATGCATTGGGGCCAGTGACATCACCTTTACCAGCTGATTTAGAGCATCCCTTGATCAGGCAACGAACCCTGCTTAAAGGGAAACCACAAGGGAAACCAAAGCCATGCTTGCGGTTGACACATACCATCACATACCCATTCATCTCATGGATGTCAGGCATGGAATCACAAGCATTGTGCGGAGTGAGGGGCAGGCTTAGGCTTGGTTTAGATGGGGTTGGGATTTGTTTGGGGCTCGCTTGCTTGCATTTCTTTTCTTTTCTTTGCTTTCATTTCTGACGTGCCTTTTTGCTTGCTTGCTTGCTTGCTTGGGACAACTCCCGATCCAGAGCACCTAGTGCTGAGTCATTACTCAACACAGAGAAATCCAAGGCTTCCCTTTCGTACCGGGCATTCGCGGGGGCTTAGGTTGCCGACTTCGGGTGAATACCGACCCGATTCGCGAGTGTCGCTTGTCGGGATGACCTACTGTGGTTGTGGCCGGCCAATTTCGGACAGGGCGATTTCCCAACGCAGGAGTTGATCATGCTGCGGCATCGCCACATTGTTTCCTATGAGGCTGGGCAAAAGCCCGTTTCATGGGCGGGTGCGGTGGATCCATGCGGGATACCAGGGTGTTTCCACAGGGGCACCCTGAAAAAGTGGTTTTGCTTTTGGATTCCCTTTACACCAGCCAAAAGGTGGGTCCCCTTATTTGAGAACTCCCCCGCATGAGCAACTGAAATCGGTCGATCCTAATTGTGTCCGAGGCTCACATGTGGGGTTCGTGCATGCCGTCAGTTGGGTCTTTGTTCCAGTAGTCGGCTTCAATTGGTCAATGCGTCTTACCCTCTCTTTTCAGGCAACCCTGAGCCGCAACTTGAGCTTGGCATACCTTTCCATGCTTCCGTTTCCTTTTTTTGCACCAACTGGTCATTCGCGCAGACGCGCGCATATGGTACTTGTTCAGGGGATTGGGCGAAAGATGGCACACTTCCAACTGGCAAAGGCCATTATGACGCAACCAGTGGATGGCTTCCGCCCCTTGTTGGCCCCGATTTTTTTTGGGGGTGTTGGGTTCCGATTAAAGCACAAAGGGATGCCGGTCCGTTTTTTTCCCCCCGCCATGGGAAGCCTCTTTTTGCCTCTGAGTTGCCAGTTTTGACGTTGTGCCATCACGTGGCATGAACATTTCACCCGTGTCTTTGATTTTGGGATGGTTCTCTCGTTCTAAAACCTTCCAGATGTTCAAAGGCCCAACTTCCGGATAGATCGGCGCCAGGAAGACTTTGTGCACGTCGAGTACGGGGGCCTCGAGGCAAAGACGTGCGCCGGAATGGCTGGTGGATCGGAGACCCCCCCAGACATCTTCAAGGTCCTGTCGGTTTTGTGTCCACCCAAAAGTGGTCCCTGACACTTTGAAGACAAACGTGGCGCTGCGTAAAGCCCTTGTTGCTTTCCAACAGTAAGATTGACGTGATGCCCAGCCATTTCCGTAAGCCTCGCCATGAAAGCGCTGCCAGTCGATGCACTGCCGCAGCACGAGTGGTTCGGAACCGATTTTGGGGGGAGGATCGGCTGCCATGTCGATGCCTGGCTCTCAGATGCTCGGATGCCGTGAGCCAACTTTTTTTTTCCTCGCGGGGTGGGGGGGGGAGCTGTTGGCTTGTTCTCAATAGCCATGAAAGGTCCATGGTGAGCTTCTTTGAGGTCTCTCCAAGATTCAGTATTTTTGACTCGGTCCATGCACTCCCGCTTGTTAACATGGACCATGGACACAATGACGCCGCTTGTTAACATGGCCCCCTGTGGAGGTGGCACAGCTAACCGCTTTTGCTTTTGGTGTGTCTTTTTGTTGAGATAACCTTTCTTGCGCCAAAGCTGACTCCTCAACCACTCCCATGGATAGGATCCGCCTCAGAATATTGTTGGTCGTGTCCACTTTTTGAGGATCAGAGATCGGCGATGCTCGTTTTCTTCTTTTAACGCACATGTTTTCCTGAACCAAACCCATTTAGGTCTGTGTTTCGTTTGAATGGCACCTTTGTTTCGTAAAGCGAAACCACCAGGACCCGACTGGCGCCAGTGTTCGGGGGTCCACAAAGCCGCAAAACGAGACACGAGCAGCTTTCCATTTTTTTTTGAACCATCGTTCTTTTCAAACACCGATCGCTGTTTTCCCAGGGTGTTTGGTGGTTTTCTAGAAGGAAGGATCCCTGGACAGAGTGGAAATGGAAGCTACCCTTGGAACCTTAGGCAAAAAGTCGCTCCCCGCTCCCAGCGCGCGGCCGCGTTCGAGGCCAGTGCCGGAGGGCTTCAAGACGGAGGCGGGGGAATGGACGCAGGAGGCCAAGGACCGCTTCTTCGGGGCCAAGAACGAAGAGGCGAGCACCGGAGCCTAGGGAAAATGGCATCCTCGAAAAGCAGAGGTTGCTTTCGAGTTTTATTTGTTCTTCTTTCTCTTGGCAAAGACCAAGAGGCATAGATTGAAACCACAAGCCCGCCTGGCGGGGGGGGGGGAGGGGAAACCGGTGTTTTGGAGCTTCTATTTTGGCAGGCAAAGACAAACAGTAATATAGATTGAAACCAAAAGCCCGCCCCGCCCAGTGAAAGCCGGTGTTTTTCAGTTTGTATTTTGGCAGGCAAAGACAAAGAGATATAGATCGAAGCCAACGCTGGCCCATGTGCCTCTCTCTGTTTCTCCCGGCCGATTCAGCTTTGAGGTCGATAGGCCTCACTTGTGGTCCACTGAATAAAAGCTGCCCGGGATCGATCCGGGGATGTCAGGGCTACCACCTGGGCTTTTGTTTCTGACCGGTTTGTGGCAAGAGACATTTTCCACGGACTCCGAGCCCACTCAAAGGGACGACTCATCCGGTTTCTCAGCTTAGCTCGTGATTGCTGACTCCGCCGTGAAGAAGAGCTGGCACTGAGACAAGGGGTTTGTTGAAGATTCTTGCTTGGCGCAATGTGCCTAATGTTTGGATTCTCCTGTTTCCGTTTGCTGACAAGAATATGTTTCTATTTTCCCTGGTTGGTTTGAAAGGGGGAATCGATCTCACTGGACATACTGTGGATGGACGAAATCCTGCCCCACCTAAGAAACCCTAGAATGATGTGATCCCCTGTAAATACCGTAACAAACAATGGTTTCAACCATGGTGTTTTGGGTGGTGCGAAATGGATTTCGCAACCATCCACAGTATGTTCTCATTTTTACACGGGCGACGCAAGAAGTTGAGGCCATGAAGACTTGGGCAGAGGCGCAGCATCTTGGCGCTTTCGAATTGGGAGGCTTGTCTTAGATTTTGGGGCGCTAAAGGAAGACTGAGCTCAATTTTCGGAGGTTTGCGGAACATGTGGGACTTTCAACCAAGTTCAAAAAGAAGGGGCCAAGCCTCTTTTTTCTGCCTGCAAGCTATGAAAGCTTTGCGCACAGAGTCAACATGGCTTGGCAAGACCTCCGATCTGCCCAAACTCAGCGCAGCCATGGGGAGGGGTCTCCACTCTTAAAAAAAACAACATTAAACCGGGTGCGAACTGACGTATAAACCAAGCTCAGTCATGATCCTAAGCTCATAGAAACCAGCTAGAGGAAATTCTACCGGAAGTTAGCCTTAAAAACCCACCAAAATCAGGGATTTCCTATAGATGTTCCTGTACTTGGTTTCTTATAAGCCTTTGGTTTGCGTGCGTAATCGTTTTGGCCCAAAGGGGGCTGTCGCCCTGCAGTCAATCGCCGGATCCTTAGGCGAGGGAACTGGAAGGACGAAGGCTCCGACAAGGGCAAGGAGAGCGCCATGCGGAGGTGCTTTTGGTCTTCTGAAGATGGGAGCCGGCCTTCCCCCCACCAAAAAAGGAAAGAGAAAAAAGGCAGAAGCCCACAAACTGGTGTTGCTTTCGGAGCCCTCAAACACAAACTGGGTTGTTTGCAGAACCCCCAGTTGAATGCCGGCATGGTTTCAGAAAGTCGTGGGTTTTGCTTTGGGTTCCTTAGCACCAAACCCCAAGATTTGGCTGTGGCTCAAAAAACCGGCACCCAAACTGGAACCCTGGTAAGTGGAAACATGGACCAAAACCTGCGCAACCCCTCCTGTTTGATTTTGAGCCACACCCATTTGGGTACCAACTCATAAAAAGTGAAGGGAAGAAGGCCCGCGAGGCGAAGGCGCAGGTTTGAAATCGCTGGCTCGGCCTTTTTGTGAGCTTGGACGTCCCAAAATGACGCAGAGGTTCTCCTTTTGGTTTCCAGTAAAATCACCAGGCAAAAGGGGGCACCAACCCAAAAAAGGACACACACACACACACACAAACACGCAAAACGGTGGCAACACTCAGTGTTTGAGCTTGCAAGTATTCTGAGCATGTAGGCTGTGCCAGGAGTTGAGAACGAAGTATCCTACAGAGGACGACCTGGAGAAATACATCAAGGACACGAACTCCCGCTTGCCGTTTCGGGCAACTCGGTGTCTGGCGCTTAGGCTTTCAAGGTGCGATGTTGGTTCACCGAGAGATGGGCCAGATGGGTATGTGTGAAAATGGGCACCCGGGCACAACGGGTGGTCGTTTGAAGGGCACCTTGTGCCTCAAACCAACCTGAAACGGGCGCCTTCCTGAAAAATTCAGGAGGTGTACCAGAAGAAGTGGGACGCACTGCTCGGCAAGGCGGCCAAGTGCCCTCGATGTTTCTTCGACATCGAGCTGGATGGAGAGAAGGTGCGAGGTTTCTTTCGCGGCTGAAGCCGCAGCCAAGCGAGCGGGACGCTCGAACACTTTGAGAGCTGTCTATGGGTTACATCAAGTGGACCTGGTGGACTGACGACTTTTTTGCACGACCGGGGAACTGACTTGGTACCCCAACTTTTGGGTGGAGAATGGACGAAAAGGGGCTCGAAATTACCACAAAGTCCAGGAGTACCCAAATTTCCAGGTTCCTTGTCAGAAACCTTGGACAATTTGACTGCTCATGTGAGTCGTGCCAGGTTCGGGGATTGTTTTCCCTGGCCATAATTCTGGGTGTCTGGGTGCAGGAAAGACTGAGTCTCAAGCTGGTTTTGGGGATCGTTGAAGCACACGGCAAAGATCGCAAGGGGTCTGATTTGTAGACGCACAGCTTTTTGGGGATCTCATCTAGGACAAGCACGACACACAACAAGAAGAAACACAAGAGGAAACCCACCAGACAAGAGAGGCACAGAATAAGTCTAAGCATCCACGTGGGTTGGTCTTCTTTTAGGCTATATTTGTTCAGTGCCAAACAAGGGGTTGGGTCCCCACCTTCCGCCCTCCCCCCATAGAAAATCCTCTTTCCTTGGGCCCTTTCACAAGTTCCGCACATGTCATCATGGGGTCAATGGAAGGGGCAGCGAAGTCATGACATCGAGAACTCACGACTCGACACGGGTATGTCTATTGATGTAGGGGCTCCCTCCCAAATTGCTGGGTTTTCTTCTTGGTTTCCCGAAAACACCACAAACCACTTTTTGGTTTCCCTCCGAAAGCAATTGGTTTCCCTAGAAACCACCAACAACAACTTTTTGGTTCACCTAAAAACCCACCAACAATTCAGGGGGGTAATTAGTAACCTCAAAAAGGCTGGGACCCGGAGAGCGGAGGCGGGCCGCGTGGTCATGCTGCTCCGGGGCGACGTGGTGCCGAAGACGGCGGAGAACTTTCGACAGCTCTGCACCGGCGCGCCCGGCTTCGGCTACAAGGAGCCGGATGGGCGGGTCGGGGGGCGGGGGTCTGGGATTGAGTCACGCCCCAAATGACTCAGGTGCCGGGTTCCGTTTCGGACCTTCATGCACTGTGTGGGTTTGGACCCGTTTTATTGCCAAGAACAAGTTTGGGTCACTTGTTGGTGGACGCGGCTGGATGGAGGGCGGCGGCAGGTGCACGCTGACGAAGAACTGCCTGAGCCTTTGCAGTGGGTTCTTTGAAGAATTGGAGGACCATGTGGCCCACATGGCGGCATGGCAGAAAGCGCTGGAAGCCCTGGACTTGAGGGTGAGGCCCTCTTGGAATATGAGCCTGGAGAGCATAGGTGTCCTTTTTTGTTGTTTTGGTAGAAAAATAGATGGCCCTGGTTTACGTGGTGGTTTAATCATCTACCAGGGCCATCTATTTCCTCTAAAAGGACACCTATGCTGGAGAATCTGACACAGCTCAAGAGGCCACCATCCACCTGCCTTGCAGGAGGCGGATGCCAAGCTTGAGTGCCGTGTGCACCTGGCGCAGCAGACCAGGTTCCGGAACGTGACGGCGAGTGCAGAAGCCAGCAGCGAAGAGCTGGGAAAGGAGATGCAGGTGGTGCTCAAAGAGGAGCAGGGCATGGACGTCAATCAGAGGCAGCGAGACGCCATGCTCGGCTACGACCTGAAGCAGGGGAAAAGAGGAGGAGGAGGAGGCGTCGCAGGTGCTCCGTGTGACAGCTCGCGAAAAGCTGTCGCTGGCGCAGGTCTGCCAACTGAAGAACCGCCTTAACTGATCGACAACCAGCCAAGAAGAACCGAAATTCGGGGGTCCAAAGTCGAAGCAGAAGGCGATCTGCTTGGGGAAGGGGGGCTCCCACATGCCAAGTGCCGGCAAAATGAGCCCCCTTTCGGAGCCCCAAGCTGCAACCCTCAGGTTGCAAGGTGGGGGATTTGTGTGGAACTTGAGCTTCTTTTTTTTTCCCGCCTTAGGTGTTGGGCTTTTTTCGTTGGCTTTGCAAACCGCCTACTTCACTTCACTTTGCAAACGTGGGTGTGGCTCAAAATTAAGCAGGAGGGGTTACGCAGGTTTTGGTCCATGTTTCCACTTACCAGGGTTCCATTTTGGCACCGGTCTTTTGAGCCACAGCCACGTGTCCTCTCTGGGTTTGGCTCTCAACTTGAGCCAAACCGCGCCGTTGATCTGCACCGCCCTTCTCAGGACAGCAGCTTCCACCGGGTCATCCCAGACTTCATGTGCCAAGGACAGGGCCTCGAGTTTTTTTGGGGGGCGCCGTGCGGAATCCCCTGCCGGTTTCGCGCCTTTGGATGGAGTGAGAGGATCATTGGGGTGCCCAGGGCCCATAGCTGCCAGAGATTGAAGGCTTCAGTCTCACATCCCACCTGCGCAGGAGGGGATTTCACCAACCACGATGGCACAGGCAAGGCTCCAAGGGAGAGTGGGCATCGCAGTGTCACTGCAAGTGTCAGTCCTTTTTCTTCGTGTGGCTGTCAGGACACCTGCAATATTCTATTCCTGGTACTCGAAGAACCTACAAAAAAGTGGGGTGGGCAGCAAAAACCAGGTTTTGCACCTGCTACTCGTCGAAAGCCGGGTGTTGGGTTGAAGAACCTGGTGTTGCTTCCTGAAACCCGTACAAAAAGCGTACAAAACCCGTATAAAAGCAGTACAAAACCCGTATTCTCCGTTTGCTTTTTGAAACCCAGGTTTCTCCTCTGACATGTTTTGGAACCCGCTTTTTTGGAGCAGCAGGTTGGCATCTTGCCAGTTCCCTTTGCCTGTTCTAGTTTGTGGTTGGCGGGACTCGCGCCGGAGCACGCCCAGCCATGCTGTTTGGTCTTACTTTCCGCTGCGACATCCAAAGAAAACCGTTCTTGACCCTTCCACCCGACCAAACTCCAAAATCCGCGCTTGCGAAGCCAAAAAGAAAAACGCGGCAGGCGGCAAGTCGATCTACGGCGAGAAGTTCGCAGATGCCGCCTGGCTCGGAAGGCTCCGGCCCTCGTGGCACAGAAGGGGCGCCGAAGGTTCCGGCAACGGTGAGTAGCGCACACGTGACAAGGACCAAGGCTAGGTGCCCCAGTAGTGCCCTTCTCTACCCTTTTTTGGGGGGAGGGTTCCCCTACTAGAATAGACTACAGAAAGAAGGATGCCCTTATTCGAACCTCTCTACTGGAGGACCTAGAAGGGTAATGACATATATGGATGGGCAAAAAGACGAGCCTACGACTGGTATTCGGTTTCAAATCTTTCTCGGGCTTTCTGTTTCTTTTCCAAGCGCGAGCTGTTGCTTTCAAGGGGATCAGAACCTTCCGGGCCTTGCCGTTTGGCTTGGAAAGCAGGGCTGAGGGTCGTGGGATCAAAGGGTTTATCGGAACCCACTTCTGTCATGCCTTCGGAAATCCCCTCTTTCAATGGGGGAAAATGTCTTTGGGAGATCTTTTTTGTTGTACAGAAGGTGGCCGTGGCTTTAAAAACCGGTACCCAAAATGGAACCCTGGCAAATGGAAACTGTGATTAGCCATGGTTTATTTCATCACCAGGGATGTCGCGGTAGTGACTGACCTGTGGTGTTTGGCTCAAGTTTTGGGTTCCGTCGCGCCTCGAATGGGCGTCGCCGAACCCCTGCGTCGACCGACGGCATCTCGGGGGAGAAAGAGACCTCGGGCCGCCGCCAGGTTGGTAGGGACCAGTCGTGCGGCCTGTTGTCGACCAAGGTTGCGGGTTAACCCTTTTCTTGTTTGGTTTGTTTTCCTTTGGTTGTTGTTCTCTGGTGTGTGGGAAACCCTGATCTTTGGGACCGGGGATTGGTTTGCTTTTGGGGAACCTTTCTTTTGTGGCTTGTTTACCCCAACTTACCCATTGCCTGGGCACAGGCTCGTGCCCGAATCACAGGTTATCAGCCGTAGGACTTTCCTACGCGCTTGAGACCATCAACTACAAGCTCTATGTCGACCCCACGATCTCGCAGGAGCGTCGTGGATGAGGAGGCCATCCTAGGTGGCCTCCGCTCAGGTGAGGACCTGCCGGACTATGACTACGAGGATTTCGAAGCAGGTTCGACAGGTCAGGACCGCAGGGGTGAAGATCCCGGTAGGGATACACCCAGGGGCCGTGGCAGGTACGCCGACGATGGAGACGATCGTATTTTCCGCCAGGCCACTGATGACGAGCGGACACGAAGGGTTTACTCCGGTAGGAGTGGCTCTGAATCAGGTCACAGGCGTGGACATTTTGACTTCACCAGCATGGCGATGGACATGGCCCGCCCTCATTCGGATGACCCGGAGGCCATGCCGATTCGACCTCCGAGATCTCTTGTTCCAGGTGAGTCGCAGGTCTCGGATGAGTTTGAGAGTAGGCCGCAGGGACCGGGAACTATGGTTCTGGTTCCGGGAGGTATCCCGGGCCGATCCACTGGTTCTCAGAATCCAGGTCAGTTTGATGAGCACGAGGAGCGGAAATTCACGGACTTCGGATACGATGATCTGTTGAGATCAACCGCAGGTTGGGGCAGTAGCTCAAAGCAGGGGTCTGATGCCGGTAGGCCCAACCCTAATACTGCCAAATCTGAGTCTTATGATGGCGAAGATTACAATTTTGCGGATGAGGAGGAGAGCCATTCGCGCCGAGATGCAGGCAGCCGTGAGACTGCAAGGACTAATCCCGCCGCTGCCAAGTTTGAGGTCGATGATGATGATGAGTATGCCGCGTTTGCGGATCGCCGTGATGAGGAGGAGGACCAACCACGACGAAATGCTAGGATCCGTGATGCTGCGAGGCCCAGGAGCCTCTCTCGTGGAGCCGTCAGGGACCTTCGTGTTGACAGGGACGCCAGAAGCGAGAGAGAGAGAGCCAGGGAAAGTCGGGAAGTTCTTCGGGGATTGGAGGCCATTCATGACCGCGAGGGACCGGTAGGTCCCCCGGCTATTGGTGATTCCCCGAATGTTCCCCCCTTTCCCAACATCACATTTGGAGGTCCGTTGAGTCAGAGAGACGTGAGCTCGAACCGGGTTACTGGTTCACCGAGGATCACTGAGCGGGCTGCCGATGTTGTTAGGACAGGTGCCAGAGATGGTCGGCTTGCCGATGCACTCGGGATCGAAGATCGTCCGTCGATCGCTAGCCCGTTAGGGCGAGATACCAGTGATCTTGAAACTCTGAGGTCAAGCAACGAGTTCACACCTCAATGGGGTTCGACTGCCAGGGAACGTAGTGTTTCTGCAAAGAGACCGTCACCTCTCGCCGCTGAGACCGATAGGTCAAAGGCGAGGAGGGCTAGCCCCTCACCAATGGATTCAACTCCGCAGGATGAGGAGATGCCCGATCCCGCTGATGTTCACATCCACTCCACCCCCGAGTCACGTGCATCCAACATTGACCCTCGATCTGGCGATAGCCGGAGAAGGGGATCTACCCCGAGTAGACCATCCAGGATTGATGATTGTCCTGTGGATGACCCCGGAAGACATGCCGGGGCTAGTGGGGCTCCTGAGAGGATCGAGATATCGACTCCTCCCGCCCTCAGATCTCAGTCTTCCGGCGAATCAGCTGACGCTAGGGCGAAGGAGGTGTTCGATTTGCACATCCAGGAGATGCTCGAGAGAGGTGAGGTTTCCGGCTCAGTCGCGAAGGCGTTCCACATCTTTGCTGACCAAATCAGGGTACTGAACGGTCAGGTGAGTTCCATGCGAAGGGAATGGAGCGACGAGAGTCAACGGACAAAGGACAAGGTCGATCGCTTGGCAGCTGAGGTTGCGACCCAATCTGATGCCGGGAGGATGCGAATGATAGTTCAACGGTTCGCAAGGGAAGTTATTCCCGATAGCAAGGCCATTGTGAGGCAAGCCATCGATGAGCAAGCCGAGGTCGTGGAGCAGAGGATTAACCTACTGTCCCACGAGGTCCATGAATCTGTCAGGGACAATGAGGCATCGACTGATCGGCTTCGCCTGATGATTCAGGAAAATAGTGAGGCTGCCCGCAGAAGCCATGCTGCTTCTGAGGACGAGACCCTTAAGGATTTGGACAAGCTTGAGAAACGGATGTTCTCGGTAGAGAAAACCGTTGGGATGCGGACACCGGCAGGTGTATGGAACCCGAATCCTGTCGCGAATCTGTCCGATAGGGCCAGCAGCAGTGTAGTTGACGCGAATTTCAGGGAGTTAAACCTGAAGATTGGGGATGCTCTCCTTGAACACGAGAAGTTTGCTAAGTGGGCCTCTGAATCTATTGAAGGGGTCAAAGAAGAGCACACTCGTCTTGTTAATCGAGTGTCTAGACTGCAAAGTGGAAGGGGATCTCAGGAGGTCGATAGACCATCAGGGCATGATTCCCCGCAGGACTGGCATGAGGCTGTTGACGAGATCAATCGGAAGATGCATGATCTGGCTCGAGGAATTCAACGTCAACGTCGGGATCATGATGACATCATTTCGAGGTTTGAAACCGTGAAGTCACATGTTGAACAGTATGAAGCGAGATCGGCAATTGTGAATCGGGTCGTTGATGGCATCCAAGGGCAGATCCGTAATCTTCCTGCCAGCAGTGACCAAGTGCAGCCTGCCGTTAGGCGAGAGCTCGGCACATTCCGGAGTACACTTGAAGGTGTTATGCGGAGAGTCAGCGCTATCGATGGTAACGTGCGTAACCTTAGCGCCGCGAACAACAGAATCATGTCCCAGCTCTTTGAGATGGAGGGTCAATTTGACGAGGCTGCTGGCATGCTTCAGGGTGTCCAGCAGATTAATGAAGCTCCTCCACAACCCAGAGAAAGACGGAATGTTGGTTACCATGCGTTTGCGGGGCAAGGACATAGGATCAGGTCACCGACGCCTACACCAGGGGAAGGTGACGGCCGGGGTACTGGCCTGCCGGTGAGACCAGGCGAAGGCGTTGTTTTGCCTGATCATGTTTTGCCGAATGTGCCCGATAGGGTCGATCCTTCTCGCGCAGACAGGCATCCCATCTATCCCGTTAGGGAGAGGTCCGACAGCAGGAGCAGGAGGTTCGGGGGTTGCCTGACAGGTCGCATTCGCCACCGGAGCGTGCAAGGGGTGGTCCCCGCGCGCGCGCAAGGGGGGACGTTTCTATTTCCCCCAATAGGGATGCGGGTAGGAATAGGAGCCCGAGGCCTGCTGCCGTCCCCGATAGGGGATCTGAGGCCCGGAGTCGACAACCGAGGGGGGAGAGGCCGATCCGCGATAGCGGGAGCGTCTCTCCGAATTTTGATAGGCCAATCCGCGATAGCGGGAACGTCTCTCCGAACCCAGGTCGTCATTCAGGAGGTGGTGGGGATAATAGGGCCCATGCCGACATCCAGAGTCCTGGTGATGAGTGGAGGACTCCTGGGAGCAGAATCAGCGCCGACAACCAGAGTCCCGGCGATAGGCGAGGGACTGCTGGAGCTCCTTCGGATCGTGGACAGGCCTCAGCGCCGGCTGCAAGAGGGGCTCCCGGCGGTGATGGCCCAGACGCGCCGAAGATTTGTGCCCTTGATGATCCCAACGACCGTAGGCACCCGAATGCTGAATTCTCGTGTGTGACATGCAGTCGTGAGTTCTGCGGGCTTTGCCGTGGTGACGATGGGGACTGTTGCAATTGTCATTTCTTGAAGATGAAATGCTGGGCATGCCGCAAGAATGCTCAGGAGGTCTCCATGTATCTCTGCACGGATTGTGGGACTCACGTCTGTGAGAATCACAGTTACTTCGGAAATGACGGCCTTGAGCGATGTGCACGCTGCAATATTCGGCATGAACGCGCTCAAGCTGGACCGCCCCCTCCTCCTCCTCCCGGGGGAGGTGGTGGGCAAGGCGGACCACCTGGTCAAGGTGGAAGCGGAAGTGGTGGGCCTGGACATGCCCCAGCTCCACCGCCAGGTCCTGGACATTATGGTGGAGGCCAAGATCCCGCTGGGCCTTCTGGAGGCCCGAGTGGAGGGGCTCCTACCGGGGGTTACCCTGGTGGAGCGCC